TAGAGTGAAAAAAAAAAAAAAAAAAAGTTACTGGAAGAAGATCCAAACAAAACTGCAACAAAATGCGGTTTTAAAGCACGCAGTTAACTCTTTCCAAGCGCTCTCTGCCGGGGGCTGGCGCAGGGCGGGCTCGGCCGTGCCGTTCCAGCGAGGGGACACGCGGTGGCACTGTGGCCTCTCGCTCCTCCGAGCGCTTCTCCCGGCCGGGAGGAGCGGGTCCCTTCCCTTTCCCTCGGCGGGATCACCAAATCCAACCAGAGGGAGGAGGACACGGGGAGGAAAAAAATCCTGCTCTTCCTGACTAGCCGGTACTTATGTTAAAAATGGGTTAGAAACTGCTGTAAAATATTTGATAATTGTTAAACAAGTTAGTTTGGTTGCTATATTGTAAAAGGGGTTTAAAGGGTAGTTGTAAGAAATACAGTACCCAATGTACCATAACACACCTCAGTAAAGTGCAGCAGTCCCCGAGCCAGCCTGGACAGAGCTGTAATGGGCCAATCCAGTGCCTTAAACCTTCGTGCAAATGAAGGATCCAAAAAGAAACCAATCCAAAGGGACAAAAACCAGGATACAAAGGGGCTTCTGGCCCACTGAATGTGCGCTGCTCCATCGGGGCCATCGCTGCTGAGCAGCCCCAGCGCCGGCGCTGCAGCATCCTCAGCAGGAGCGCTCCTGCTCAGCCCGGGCCCCTTGCTTTAGGCCTTTCTTTCTCTTACAATAAACACTGAAATCACTTTAGTACCGGGAGCCTGCTCTCGTTTTTAACACTTTGATACAACACCTTCAGCCACTGGATCCAAATTGAAAACGGGGGTAAAAGCAAACCTTGAGTGAATGGCAATCTGTTTTCTCTGCGGTCCCACACATTATTCCTGGGTGTATTTAAGATGCTGTTTCACATTTAAATGAGCACATCAGTGTTCATACACACACCCATTTTTCCTGCAGCTGAAAATCAGCTGTTTCCAGGGCACAAACCTGGCTGCTTCCATAAGTTCTAACAGAGAGAGGGGGGGGGATTGGGAAGGAAAAAAAGAGTGAAAGCACAAATCACCACAACTTTCATATAAATATCACTTGTGGGAAACTTCTGATGGAGAGATGTTTTTGGTTTAGGCCAAGAACATCTGGTAAGAATAAGAAATATGTCTTATAAAAAAAAACTAGGTTTCCTAATCTGCTTGACTGCATCAGACACTGGGCTGAAAGCAAATGTTTTATATGGTGTTTCACATCCCTCAATCAGCACTTGCATTGCAATAAATTCTCTTTTTCAAAAATCTAATGAGCAAACATGTATCACAAGTTGCAATCTTTTAGGGATAGTCCCAGCTATGTTGTTTTCTGCCTGCAGATGACACTGCTAAAGTATTTCACTCTCAAAAGACTTGGGGCTTTTATTTTTAATTCAGTTGAGATGGGATATTAATCCAAAATGAATCCGCTTCAAGGAACTGATGGGGCAATCACTTACATGATATTTGTTTATTTCCTTCAGCTAAGAAAAAACCTTAATTCATTTCTATTTCAGATCTTGGCTAAGCATTTTCTGAATTGCTGTGCAGGCAAAATTCTTTCTTTCTCCTCTCTCTCCCTGCCCCCAACTTTCCAGTCAGCACTCCTAGTTACAAGGAGAGAAATCTATCTCAGAAATATAATTAAAGATTTTAAAGCCTAGAGCAAACTGCTATTTCTTTTGCCACAGATCTCACAAGCACAAATAAATGCACATACTTGCTAAATAAAGTTAATAACAATTCAACAGAGGTGATGCCACGGTGCCAAGAGCTTGTAAACCTCTCTGTGGTGTCAGCAGCATCTGAGGGCACCCTCTGCAAGTTTTTTCTAAATATTAAATCCATTTCAGGTGCATTAGTTTGTGTTAAAGCAAATTTGTTTTGACTATAAAAACTATCTAGAATTCGTGTTTGTGCTGGAGTTCAGGAATGGAGAAGAGGGCAGGGAAAAGGAGGAGGGGAGGAAATGTTTCACATTTTTTAGACTATTTCTAATCTCCTCACTCATACTGCCTGAGAATGAAGTATCTATTGTTTACTGGAAATGCTTTTGTGACTGTCTGCATGTCAGCAAAAGGGTCTAACATAGCTTCTGACATAGTTTACATTCCTTTCTAGCTGTGATGTGTCTTCCCCATTGTTTTTCCTGCCCTATCCTCTCCATTCTTTCTTTTTTCCACCCTGGCACTTTTCTGTTACAATTATTTCCTGTCCATCCCAATTCTGCCCATATTCATCAGGAGTTATGATTGACTGATGACATGAACACAGCTTTATTAACAGGTCAGAGTGCAAGTTAGTCCTGTCCTACTGCACAACAAAAAGAGCTGTATGCCCGAGAAACCACTGTTATCTGTCATTCTGCCACATACCTCCAATTTCCCCCTCTCCACAAATTCCTGCTCCTCTTTCCCAGCTGGTTCCCCCCTCCACCCCACCATCTCCAACCTTTCTGCTCCAATATATAATTTTCCCCCGTTTATAAGGAAAGGAGTGTGTCACTCATTTATTTTCCCTCAGCCAGTGAAACTATTCTCATGTATCACTAGCAGGACCTCTCCTGTGGGTGCCACATTAGAACAAAGGGGAGTGACTTTAATTCAGAGAAGGGCCAGAGCCTCCTCCTCCTTTTAATGAAAAAACAGAAGAGAGACAAAGAGTAAAAATCAGGGGTAAAAGGATTCTGGACTCAGAAGTGCAGAGCCAGTTCTTCCTCCCCATCCTGATTTTTGTGAGAAGGTTCCCAGTTTCTTATGTTGCAGTGAACCCTAAGTTAAAGATCACCCCAGCTCCTCCCCAGCCATGTGTACCCCCCCTGCTGTCTGAAATTTGGCTAAAAAAAAAGCTTCAACAGCTCATTTTGAGTCCCTTGTCTCTGAAATAGCAATACATGAAGTTAAAAGCCCACATTAGTTATACCTACATCTAGTTTGGTGGAATTTGGGAGTTTTTTTAATTGTGTAACTCTGGATCGCCCAGTTCTTTTTCTAAAACCCTAATTTTCCTTTCCCCAAAGCACTGTACCTTCCCTTGTTCCTCCTCCTTTGAACCCACCGTGGGGTAGAGTGTTTGAACATAAACCCAAGCTATGTCCTGAGATGGTGTGAGAATTTCAGCCTTCCCCCAGCAGTACTTCAGGGGGACAAACCCCCGCTCGCTCACGACAGCAGGGGCAGAGCCAGCCGGGGTTTTTCCGAGCTTTAATTGAGCAATTCCCTCATCGCCTCTTTACAACCAAACGGAGAGAAGGCGGCTGTAACTCACCTCTCTGCAATCCCTTAGGGCAGCCTGGAAAAAACCCAGACAGCAGGAAAACCTCCCAAACCAGCAGCCCTACAACCACTCCCGCCTGACAGTTTGGTCTGCGCAGCACGGAGCACCGCGTGTACAGCATCTTCTACTTCCAGGCTGAAACTTAGGTACTCAATGTGTAAAGGCACAAGAACACAGAATTCCCTCATATATACTGGGATGCAAAGCATCTGTGAGGGACGGCACGCGAGGACAGCGGATATTTATGTGTTTAAAATGGGTCCGTGTGTTTGTTCACAGGGGGTGCATGTGCCACGGGAACCCAGTGTCCCGGCGGGTGTGACACAAAGACACACAAAAACAGAAACACAAACACAAGCATGCAAACACAAACACACAAACACACACACAAACACACACACAAACACAAACTCACACACAAACACACGCTCACACAAACACACAAACAGAAACGCACACACAAACAGAAACACACGCAAACACACACACACAAACACACACACACAAACACAAATTCACACAAACACTCACACACACACTCACACACCCGTACGCAAATGCAAGCACACACACAAATAGAAACACTCACACACACACACAGAAACACACACTCACACACAAACACACACACAAATACAAACACACACACAAATAGAAACACACACACACGCATATTCACACACTCACACAAACACACACACAAACAGCAACACTCAAACACACACAGAAACACACACACAAACACACATTCACACAAACACAAACACACATACGCAAACACACAAATAGAAACACACACACAGAAACACACATTCACCTACTCACACAAACACACACACAAATAGAAACACTCAAACACACAAACACACACTCACACACACTCACACACACACACACAAACACAGCTCACACACTCACACCCAAACACACACACACAAACACACACTCACACACACACACTCACACACATACAAACACACACAAACACAACTCACACACTCACACACACCCAAACACACACTCACACACACAAACACACACTCACACACACTCACACAAACACGCACGATCGCGGCCCCAGCCGCTCCGGGACTGCCCCGGCGGGAGGACGGGGACAGGCGGCGCTTCCCGGAGGCGGCGGCCGCTCCCCGCTGGCGAAGGCCGGGCTGGGCTGTGAAAGGGAGCGCTGTGCCGGGCTGGGCTGGGCTGGGCTGTGACAGGGAGCGCTGTGCCGGCCTGGGCTGGGCTGGGCTGTGACAGGGAGCGCTGTGCCGGGCTGGGCTGTGCCGGGGAGCGCTGTGCCGGGGAGCGCTGTGCCGGCCTGGGCTGGGCTGGGCTGTGCCGGGCGGGGCTGGGCTGCGGCCGGGCTGGGCTGTGCTGGGCTGTGACGGGCTGGGCTCTGCCGGGTTGGGCTCTGCCGGGCTGGGCTGGGCTGTGCCGGGCTGGGCTGGGCTGCGGCCGGGCTGGGCTGTGCTGTGCCGTGCCGGGCAGCCCCGCCGGACCCTTTCCCCCTGTGGGCAGGTCAGGGGAGCGGAATAGCGGCGCGGGGCCGAGCGGGGCAGGGCAGAACCGGTCCCCGCGGGCCGGGGCGGGGCGGGCAGGGGGCCGTGCCTGGCACCTGTGCGGCGGGCGGGGCGCGGCTCGGCCCCGGCGCTGGGGAAGCGGCGGAGGCGCAACAGGTCCGCGGAGCCGAGCGGAGCCGAGCCCATGGCCCGAGCAGGGCCCGAGCAGGGCTACATCCGCACCGTGCTGGGCCAGCAGATCCTGGGCGAGCTGGACAGCTCCAGCCTGGCGCTGCCCTCCGAGGAGCGGCTGAAGCTGTCGGGAGATCGCGCCGGGGAGGAGAAAGCGCTGCGGATCCAGCGGCAGGTCCAGCAGACGCTGGCCAGGAAGAGCCGGGGCTCGCTGTACAATGGTGAGTGCCCGCCCGGGACGGGAGGGATCCGGGACACGGCTCCGGGATGGGACCCGGCTGGCCCCGTGGCTGCCCGGCCCTGGGGCGTGCGGATTGCTCCGGCAGGAAATCAAAATCGTGGCTCTGTCGCCTCTGCTTTTACTCTTTTCCCACCGCAGGAGTTTCTCCCTCCCAACCTCCGCCGTACTCGATGTGCCGGGGCCGCTCCAGGCTCTCCGCTGCCCGAGACGGGAACCGAGTTGAAATTCTGTGCTGAAATTCTCCTAATCCAACAGCCGCTTCACGTGCTTATTTTAGTGCCTTTAGCTTTACCCACCGCTCCGGATTGGGAAGTAAAATGGGAAGATTCGTAGGAAAAGTTTTGCCTTGTTTAACCATGAAATTTAAAAAAAAAAAAAAAAAAAAAAAAAAAAAAAAAGTTTGGAAAAGTAACTCTAGGAAAGGCATGAATGGGGAGCACAGAACGATAACGCTATCAGACATTATTTACCCAGCTCTTTGACATGCGTGCTGCAAATTGACGTCAATCATCCCTCCCTTCCCAGATCTTGTAGCCAGGAGGCCAAACCCGTCAGGAAACCCGCGGCCACACCTTGTACCTAGCCCAAGCAGAGCCCGATCGCAGCACCAGGCACCCACAGGGTGACTGCCAGCTGCTGAGGCTAAAGGCAAGGTACTCGAGGGGTTTAGTCTTAACTATTCCTCAAAACTTTATATGCCATGGAACTTTAATTCTGTTTTTGAATGGGAAGGTATGACTGACTCACAGGCTACATGCCCTGTTGCTCCATTGTCCTTAAAGAAGTTGTCACCTTTCGTTTGCTAAAAGCTGTGAGACAAAAGTCTTTATAACCATGCTTCACTCATCTATCTTAAGAGTCAGGCAGACGAATGTTTTCTTGTTCTTTGTCTGGCCTCTATTTTTAAAAACAACTCATGGCAAAAATGGGCATATTCTGCTTGTGGAAATCAGTTGTACAAATAAAAAAAATGGGTGTGCAATGTGCAGATAAACATGCGAGTCCTTAGCCTGGCTGCTATAATTTAAATACAGATTCTAAACACTTTTAGGGTAGCTTAATTTCTTTTCCTCTCAGCAGAGAGCCTGCAAAAAGCTTTTTAAGAGTAGTTTATAAATGTTACAGTGTAGTGAACCTGAGCTCATGCCTCTAAACCATGGATAAAACACTATGAAAACAGAGTTCCCCTGCTCTCAAGTCATCCTGGCTTCTCTGGAGTACATTAACAGACCTGATGTATCTGGGGGATAGTTATCTTGGTTTGCTTTGTTTTTCTAAAGGTCAAGTATTTGATGCCCTTGCATTTCTGAGACACCAAAGCTTTTAAACTTCAGGATAAGGGGTGGAAAATGGCATGTCTGTAACATGTCTTGTTCATGCGAAAAAATGAACTTTTCTTCTTTCAAACTTATTTTTACGGGCAAGTTGCTGTACAGTTTTTAGTCCCACTGTAAAACTCAGAAAAAAGTAATGAAAACTGAAATGCATTCCATTAATTTATACATATGTATAATACATCTATATCTGCCTAGATCTTAAATATATATAATGTGAATAATAGCCAGTCTTGTATTTAACATGTTGGCTTTCCTGAAAAATACACATAAACTTGCATGTGTGTCCCAATGTACTTTCTAAACATACTTGTTCAAAAATTGACCATGCTTTCAGAAACATTAGAGTTCTGATGTGTAGGGAACTTTTTAAAAATATGCCCCTTTTTACATGCAAAATCATCCCTTTCTGTGAATTACAGCCCTTTCCTGGCTACATTCATCAAGGCTCTTAAATGGTTTGCAGTTTCAGGGAGGATTACACAGGTTCAGAGGGAGCAGGAGCAGCCCCCTGTGACATAACTGTCCTGTCTGCAGGAGTATTTCAGACTCTGCTCAACAAGGCACTTGGTGCATACCGAGCCACAGGGTTCACATGCATGCCTAAAATTAGCCAAGCACATAACCACTGGGTGTGAAAAATCAGTGGTAGGAAAAGGTCTTGCCCAGTGTTAGCAGTGCACACCCATTTTCTACTGACTGTACTCTGACTATACTCTACTGAAACTTTGAAGCCACAAGAAGCAATTTGTCAGCCAGCATAATTTCTCCCTGGAGTTTCAAATTAGAGGTGTAATAGCGTAGCCTTCAGCGCTACTTTTATATGGAACTTTTTTTATTCCTCCTACCCCCATCCTGTTTGTTGTTTCATGCCCTTTCCCACCTTTTGGTAGGCGTGTTTCTTTCTGATAACAGAAATTCAGTAATCTCCAGATTTGAGGATTCCACCTGCTGCCAAAGGAATGAAGTTACATATGTGCTCAACTCTTTTCAAGATGTTCTCAAGCATTGTTAATAGCTTTTCAAGCAGTTCAACAGCAGCTGCAGCTTGTCCAGTTTACCCACTGTTGAGCCTTTATAAATTAAATCACTGCACTTAAAAGTTTTGAACAACTAAAGCAGTCATATCAAATTTCTGGATGCTATTTAGGAATGGAAGTACAATGGTAGGTAGTTCCACCTCATCAAAGTAAAAGTGGCATTTGGAATCAGAGATTTTAATGACTGGTGTTTTGTTGCCCAGGCTGATTTTATTTCATGTACATTTTAGGAATCTTTTAAACTTCATTCTGTTGATGAGTCCACTTGCCTCTGCTCTTGTTCCTTTTGGATTTTGATTGGCTCTTTAAGGCATCCTTATCAGGATGTAAATCAGGATGCCTTATCTGACTGTAAAAAATGAGGGCAGAATTGAGTAATGTATCACACAAAACCAAATGGCCTGATGAACTGCTGCCTGTGGACTGATTCTTTTTCTAACAAGTTTTATAAACACAGTGTGTTTATTAAAAAACAAAACAAAAAAATAAAAGCAGAATTCAATCTTATGTGATTTCCAAATAAACAGCATCAGATATAAGACAATGGAAATCAGAGACTTATTTATTCCTCACATTTAATAATTTCTAAAATTCCTAGTATTTTCTTGTTAGAGTTGCTTTTAGGGACTCGGGGCACTTTTCTATCCTTAGCTTTCTATTTTGCAGAATGCTGGCATGTTAACTGTTCCATAGTAAGTTTCTGTTTCTGTCTGTCTGGGATAAGGAAGTAGAAAAAACATCTGGGTTGACTTTCTATTTTTGTTGGTGTTGTTACATTCCTCTGCTTTCTGAGACAGAAGAAATCTTTTTCTTGTGTAAATGTCTTCTAACCAAATGTTAGAAGAACTCCTCTGGGACCAGGCACGTGCTGGCAGAGTGATGAAGGAGCACAATCAAAAGGAAGGCTCTTTGATCTGGAGATGAAGGGATTCAGTGATGGTTTTGATATGCCATCATTAAATGTCATCCTCTCAGTCCATCCTGAGTGCTGAAGTACAAAAAGTCTGGATGGGAGGAGGTGACCACCCAGGTGCCCTGAGCAGGAGTGGGCAATGAGCACTGGGCAGGGGGGCACTCTGCAGGTGTGACAGTCCCTCAGGTACTCTTACAATGATGTGTTCAGGTACAGCTACATTGATGACTGCACTGAGAAGTTCAAAGCCAAAATTTGGCTTTCATGGTATCCATTCAAATATGAAGACTCGCATCAGAGAGTTCCCCCTGTCTGTGATTTAAGGGGGATTTGATACACCCAGCCCCGTAGTGGAGATAATTGTCTTTTTCATCTTCCAGATATCTTAGAGATGCCTCTTGTCATGGCTGTTTCTGAAAGCAAAGCAAACTTTACATTAGGGTGGTCTGTCTGCAGCCATAGGCAGTGATTCAGTGACTGCTGGGGAGGAATTCCCAAAGCCTTGGGAAGTGTTGGGCTTGTCACCTCCAGGGGGACAAAGGGAACTTGAGAAGAGCCTCTCTGGAGACAGATGGGATTTCTGCTCTGTCATCTGTACAGCCTGCTCCTGCCTCCTGACACTGGAATTATTTTTTCTGGTCTCAGAATTTTCCTGTAACTGTTGCAGAATCAGGTGACTTCTGCACAGTTTTTATTTTAGGCGTGGAGAAGAGCAGAGGGGTTCAGTTTGCCTCCTCTACTGACCACATCCAAGGTGTTCCTCAGCTGTTTTAGTTCACACTGACAGCAGAGAGGGAGCTGATAAGCAGTTCCACTCAGTTGCCCACACATGGGTGTCTGATGCTGTCTGAGATGCCTGGGTTGTCCAAAATACCCTTATGGGTTGACAGACATGATGCAGGGCCTGCAGCAAACCCATTTTTTCCTGACTGGCTGCTGGAAATCAAGTGTGGTGTCCTATGGCCTCTCAAACAGTGTTTGTCCCCTGTGGATGAGTAACTGAACCATGTGCTTATTTCCTGAGGAGAGAGTTTTTGTGAAAGACTGAGAACCACAGTCAGAGAGTACTAGCCCTAACAGAAAATAAGACTATAATATAAATTTTTAAAATAATAATTCTTGGCTTTTTAAAATCAAACAACAAAACATTGCACTGGGTGTGTAAGGGTTTTGCAGTACAGTGAAAATAAACTGAGGGAAGCCTTGCTGGCAAGCTCTGATCAGGTCACCTATTCTGCATCTCATAACTCTTGGAAAGGCACAGCACTTCAGTTCCCACTTTCTCCTTTACCACACTGACTTTTGGCACAAGAAACTAACCAGCACACAGTAAAAACCATGTCTTTTATGTCTGCCTAATAAATCTACAGGTAAAAGGCCAGCAGAATAATTTACTGATGTGATAAGAGCAAGCAAGACACAACTGCAAAGTGAAATTCCATAGGTTGACAAGTACTGTGTTTGTCTGTGAAAGAGAAAAAATTTTACTGATAGATAATTTCACAGGGTAAAAAAAGGGGTCTGCTTGAAAGATAACTGCATGGTACAATTTTTGATTTACTGTGTTTTGTTTTTCTAAGAGGGAACTATTAGATATGTTGTTTATCAGCTAGTTAATGGACAGCCTTGTTATTTTTCACTTGTTCTCTTTTTTGTATTTTTATTTTTAGTAAATACAAGCTTAGAGTTATCTAAAATATGCAAAAATTACTTGCTGAAAGGGCCTTTGTGCCCTAAGTAGGTAACTGAGAATACTTTCTCACTAAGTACAGTAAACAGGAAAAAAATACAAACTGTAAAGAAACAGAAATTTATGGGCATTTATATTTAATGATTTATTGTATTAAAGTCCTTTAATATGCAGCAATGAAGAAAGTGAATCTTTAAAAAGCCAGCACTTGGCTGAGATGGGCTCTTACTGGGCACCTGAAATAGTATATTGCTGTGGGAATTACATGACACAAATGAGACATCCATATAAATCTATAGATCTGGGATGTTGGTGCACATTTCTGTGAATTTTTTGCAGTATAAGAGAAGAATTTACTCCTGCCTGTTTCTCATGTGCTCAGGTAACCCTTGGGCTATGGTAACCTTGTAACGTCAGGAAGGAATTATTACAATCCAAATCATGAGCCTGACCAAGCTGCACCATTCCACTCTCATGACACAAAGTTGCTGTGAATGTGTCCTAACAAACCACCTCATACATGTTTAAATCTGCCAAAATGAGAGAATTGGAAAGTATGATTATACAAGTAAAATTATTGCAAGTTATATTTGAATTAGGCCTCAAATTATCCCATTCTGCCATTATATTGTATTGTATTTTACTGTGTTGTGGGACACACAAATTTGATCTTCAGCAGTTTGGGCAAGGCAGCGATTGGTTCTTCAGATTTCTTCTCTGTAGTACCTCAGGTAATATTTGCTGTTTTGAAAATTGATGGCCAGTTAACTTCTTTATTGACCACTGTTACCTGTTCAGCCTAGTAGGGCCATTTATGACTGATTTGAGGTCCTGCTTCCAACTTCTATTTCAGCTCTTTAAACCTGTGTTAACTACATTCCTATGTGCAGATTCTTGTAGTAGCATCTCATAAATAATTATTTCATTAATATCTGTTGCTTTCAAAAGTTTCATTAATAGAAGCATTCACTCTTTGAAAATGAAGAGAGTGAAAAAAAGGAACAGCCCAAAGGTTTTGTGGGCCTGTTTGGGGTTTTACTGGAAGAAATAACCACAATGTGCTGCTCTGCTTTCAGAGCTGGGTCATGGAAAAAAAGAGAGCAGATACCCAGATAAGATGTGCATCTTTGATATTATTTGTAGGATTAGTGAACCTTTCAGGTGCAGATTAGAAGTGCCACTGGACAGCCCAGCTTTACAGCACCACGAGCCACAGAGTTTGTTCACAGACTCTTTGTGCTGCTTGGATGGAGCACTGAGATCAGTGAAGCATTATTTGCTCCAATACTCTGTCATTAAATTGGCACCTGAGGGAGAGGAAACAGCAGCAGCTGAGGCAGACAGCTGTGAAATAAAGAGTCTATTCTCAGTGGGTGCTGTTTGTTTACAACTGTACGTGGTGAAATCTGCATCTCTAGCGTGCACAGTAACAGATACAGACATCAACCTGTGTTTCTCAGCTCCAATCTACAGCTGCAATATTTTCATCTCTTGTGTACATAGTCAGCCAGGGTAAACCATGCATTTATATATTTGCATGTACATTCACAGTGGTTACAGTGAAAAATAAGTGTTCTTAGTTCAGTGATACTGTTTTTCAGCACTTAATCAGTTTGTTATCTGGGATATTTAAAGTATCAGCTTGCTTTGCTAAAACATTTTTCATAGCTGCAGGAGTCACTGGACTCCTAAAAGCTAAAAATAACTCTTAAGCAAAGTACATAGGGAACTGGAAAAAAAATGGCTTGTATCCTTGGAAAAATGCAAATATCCCTCCACGATTTCCCTGTTCAATTTTCAGCTTACATAAATGCCAGTGCTGACTGCTGCCAGTATTATGTATCACCCTTTATCAGAATGCCATGTTTTGGTAAGATCTTACTAATATTGGTTTTTGGTTCCAGGCAGCCTGCACCGTGCATCCAGTGTACCAGAGCGTGTCTACAACATGGGGATCACTGAGAATGATTCTGCACCAAGGTCTCCCTACAGCTTCTCATATTACCAGGCAAACCAGGTGAGGCAAGGAAGACAATGAGTAGAAATGAAAATAGCATCACACACATAGTTTAATCGTTTTGTTGCCACAAATAATAGCATTTAGGTGGTGTTATGAGGTTTGTTTGCTTGGTTTTTTTTCTTCTTAAAACCTGATTTTTAGAAAATGAGGGTTTGACAATGAAATCTCTTAATGTTCTCCCTTCCTTCCAATGACTTCAGTAGCCAGATTCAAGCCAATCATACAAATGGGCTGTTTGCAGTCCTGTTGGGTTCGTGAGAATTGGCATCAGGGTAGAAAATGAAAAATCATATTTACACTCCACTGAGGCAAAGGCTGTGACAAGTCAGATTTTCATCCCTCCCACCAGACAGCAGCTCAGTCAGCACATCTGTACCTCAGGGTGGCCAGAGGCCAGGCTGCCCAGGCAAACAGAATTGAGCATCCAAAACCAAAGGAAAACAGATTGCTTTAGTTTCACAAATACTTTAGTTTTCACAATGTAGGGTGGTTCCTTATAATTTTAAATACTCCTGTTGTTACCTATTTTATCATTATAAGAACTCCAGCAGTAGAGTCCTTGCAATACAATGGTGTTTCTAAACATCTAATCATAAAGTCTCTTGTTATTTTGACCAGGTTTTCTTGGGGTCATGGCCTGAACGCTGAGATAAATAATTGGTTTTCTGCAGGGTTTTTGACACAGCTCATAATTGGTTTTGGACCTATTTGAAGGAGTGACTGGGAAATTAACACAGCTCAATAGCAATGCTCCTGCACGATCAATTTAGTAAACTGAAAGCATTTTGGCTTGAGAACAGAAACATTTATTTGGTAAATAACTGTGTATGAAGGGGGCAATTCTTTCCTAATTTTAGACTACTTGAGAATGGCATTTTGTCATTAAAAGCAATAGCCCAGCTGTTGACCAGGCAGTGAAGCAGCTCTGGCTCTGTACAGGGAGAGACAGAGGCATTTTCCTAAACACATTTCATTCTCTGTCCTCCCATCCTCTATTCCCACCTGTCCTGCAGTCCATAATATTTGACTTGAATTCATTCCTTCCAGAAGACAGCAACAAGAGGAAAGCTGGAGGTGACATAGGAATCACAAGAAAATAATACAGTTTAGCAGGCAGGGGGTGGGGAGAAAAGAGAAAAAAGTGTAAAAGCTGGGAAAAGCCACAAGCTCTAGTACTTCAAAAAAAATGTTAATTATCCCCAAACAACAGATAAAGATATCCTTGATAACTTCTGTAGAATAAACAGATATATCCAATGATATTTTCCTGAGCCTGCTAGTTTCTATAACCTTTACTCCTTTTGTGAGTCATCTGTCACCCTCAGGATCTCCTCAACAGTGAAATTTTTGAAAGGGAATTCAGTCTGGCATCTATCTGCTAAGCACTGTTTCTTCAATTAAAAGCTTGTGTAAACTTCTCAGTTTACCTTAAAAAATGCCTTTAATATTTCTAAACTAACACAATGTGGAGATATGGAGCTTTCTTTTATGGTTGTATGCCCCTATGCTTACTGATTTTTTAAAAATTGGTCTATGACTCCTCTATTTCAAGGCCAAATAGTTGATTTAGTTCGGGAAGGTTTTGAATGGAGAATGCAAGAAAAAAGGATAAGAATCAAGAGGCCTCAAATGGTACCCAAAAGTCAGAATCTTGAAGATACGTTCTACAGAGAAAGGTTGACGGCCATGGATTTGTTTAGTTTAGAAAAGAGAGAATTGTAAAGATTCTGATCTAATACAGTCTTTCCCCATTAGGTATAGGAAGAAAAAATAATCTAAAATTGCAACTGTAGAATTAAGGAAGTTGTTGAGATGGTGAAATGGTAATTTTAATTTTCTTGGAATGTTATACAGTCTCCTTAATTTTTTAGAGGCTAAACAATGAGAGAAGGGACTATCTCTTTTTACTAGATCCTACCACAAATGAACACAAGTGCTAAATAACTTTATATTAATAAGCTTATTACCAATATCAAAACACTTCAGTATAAAATTTTTTATATCTGATGAATTAATTTTCTTCTGTCTATTAGACAGCCTTGAATTTAGCTTTAGTAGCAGATGTTGGTGTTAATCCCCAAGGAGTTTCAACAGAAGAATCTCCATTAATAATCAATCTGTTCATTACCTGGCTTAATTATGCAACTGGTTTGAGTTCATGACAGAAGACAGGATGCTTAGCCTTTGCCTCCTGATGTTTAGACTGTACTTCTTCCTGCCTCCATGAGGGAGGTACCAAGAAGTGTGGCAGAATCCCATTTGATGCACAATTTTGGCAACGTTGACGTATTTTTTTGCGATTCTGAGAGCAGACTGTAGAATTTTTGCCTTTGATTTGGTTTCTCTTGGTTTGGTTTCTCTTGGTTTGGTTTCTCTGCTGCTAATCCCAAATGCAGTGACCTTACTGTGGCTCCTGTTGTTTCGTGCCCCCTGGAGCAGGTCGCCTCCCCGTCCTCTTACACCAACGGCTGGGGGACAAGGATTGCCTACAGGACGATGGAGGAGAGAGCTCAAAGGCAGCCTCTGAAGAGACTGGAGGTGTCACCCCAAAGAAACCCGGACAGGTTGGCCTACATACCCAAGGATTTTCACTACGATGGAGGGATCCCAGCTGGGCTGTCCCTGAGGCACGGAGGAGATGGCCTGAGGTGCAGTGGGACCGTGCCGCCGCGGTACGCCCGCTCCGAGATCGTCGGCTACAGCCTCCATGACTCCGTGCACCGGGGCCGCTCCTTCAGGGGACGCTCCCGCCTGGGGGCTGCCAGCGACGCTCTCCTCGATGGGGCCTACCCCAGCCCTGCTGCCCCTCTGCACCACCAGCCTGGCAACAGCCGCAGCATGAGCAACCTCCTGGAGAAGGAGAACTACCTGGCCTCGGAGAGCGCCGTGGGACAAGTGAGGTCCCCGGCCGCGTCCCGCTTGTCTCAGAACAGGCACTCCGTGAGGTCCAGCTTCTACCAAACCTCCTTCAGAAACACCCAGAGCAGGAGGGGGGTTTCCCAGCCAGCTTCCATAGGCAGTGTCACTGCAGAAACGGATGGGAAGAGGATGCCAGTGACAGCTGCCGTGGCCGCAGCAGGGAGGAATGGGTTCCTGCAGAGCGAGCAAGCGACCCTCAATGGATCTCAGCTGGGGTAAGCACAGTGCAGGACCTGCTTTGGCTCTGGCCTCTCACAGCTGACAAGAACGTGCTTGTTAGAAAGGGAACTGATAGCCTTTGGTTCAGCAGCCAGCATCATGCATGAAATATCAGTGCAGAGCAGGCAGAAAGTAGATTGGCTTTTAAAAAGCCATATCCAGTGCAACGGAGGAAAGGGGAGAAAAAATGTATGTGTATGTACAGTGCAAGGTGTACACCTCCTGCTGAAGTTTGGGACCCTCTTTTGCCAAGAGTTAACTTTATCAGGAGACATGAAACAGTCACTGAGTAATTTACAACCTAAGTCACAATACACAATTAGCAAATTTTGTGCTCACAAGAGCCTGTACAATATCAGCACTGGTTCTCATGGGAACAGGTCAGAAAAGTACCAGTGGGACATTTTGGCAATTGACAATTTCCAGTTAAAAATCCTCCATGGTTTCAAGGACACCTCTCAGTTTTTATAAACTTTATCAGGAGACATAAAACAGTCACTGAGTAACTTACAATCTAAGTCACAATACACCAAATTGTATTGGCAGATTTTGTGCTCACAAGAAGCCGTACGATATCAGCACTGGTTCTCACGGGAACAGGTTAGGAAAATACCAGTGGGACAGTTTTTGGCAGATTGACAATTTCCAGTTAAAAATCCTGCATGGTTTCAAGGACACCTCTTAGTTTTTATAAACTTCAGGTAAAACATGAGCAGAAATTTTTCTTAGCTCTGTAGCACCATCCTTTCCTAGAACAAATGCAAACTGCTCTGAATCCCAAGACCCCACAGCTTCCCACCACCATGAGATCCTACATTCTCTGAGGGAGTTATCTTAATTTGAAACTCTATTAGCTCCATGCCAAAAAGTCCCAAATCTGCCCCCAGACTTCATAAAAATTGTTTAAAATACTGGAAAGGGTTTTTTTGGTTTTTTCCCAAAATTACTTCCCCCACCAAAATTCCTTTCCAAAGAAGATTTCAGAATGTTTAAAATCTCTTCCATTTTCAAAAGAGAAATTTTATTATTTCTGAATTTCCTCTCAGGAGTGAATATCTTCATTTTAGAATAATTCTGAATGTTTCCAGAGCTGTTACATTTCAGTGGACAGAACAAGCCGCTTGGTATACAGGAGAAGGTTGCATGTTTATTCTGGTTTTTGCTGCTGTTTCAGAATTCAAATAAAGGTCCTAAAATTTCTGTTTAAGTTAATCATAGTGTCATTTACAACACTGTTATTAAGAAATGGCTTATTCCCATAATTGTGTAGCTCTTACGTTCATTTTTCTGAAGACCTATCTTTCTTCTTTTTCTGAGTTTCTTGCTTTGTGAGAAAAGGCATCACCTGATATCACTGCCATGTGCAGATCAGGTATTTTTTGTTGTCAAGTACATGCTGTGTGTTAGGATTATATTTGCAAACATATATTTTATGCTCACTTCTGCTCTCAACAGAAGTTTTCATCTCTGAGTGATGCAGGACTTAGGAGATCTGACATTACTTATGTTGACTTATAAGAATTCAGAAGAACCAGCTGAGAGCTCACAACAGCTAAAAATTTTGGAGGAGTAATACTGCAAATAGGCATCTGGCTTTGTTTTTCGGTAGGGAGGACTTTGTTTTTCAGTAAGACAATTTACAAACATGAATCCCATTGATTTTATAATCTGCTTAACTTTTGGCACATTCTAAAATGCACTTCTGAGCCACAACCAACAATTTTTATCTTGAATTACATGTAGGAGCAATTTTGGCTTTTCTTTTGCAGGTGCAGACAGTGGAGTCTGGTTGGCTATCTGTACAAACATCAACTAAAATATTTTAACACCTTCAGATGTAAAAATCAGTCTTGAATCATTGTGCAAGAGGCTTTAATGTGACCATGTTAACTCAAATGGAAGATTTGTGATCTGCTGGAAATCTTTGTGATGTCATAATTCCTTAAGGGCCAGTTTTTAGGTTCAGCATTTGCCAGAAGTTCTCTCAGTTCAAAGAATTTGTAGACACTCCTAGTTTTCTTGTTATTTCTCATTCTCTTATTTGAAGGTTGCATTTATCTGACATATTGCTACCTTACTTGTTATTCCCTTAGTAATGTAAATGGGAGAAAAAAGATAAGCTTATTTTTGGAGTAATTTAATTTTTCCAGAAATCTATACTTCTTTTTTTTTTTAATTCAGGCCACAGTTTAAGTCTTTCCAAGTGAATTAAGAGAATGTAAAATAGTGGTGTAAGTTTAAATCTGTGTACAGCATTTGAAACCTATCACAAATGCATCTTCAAACTTCCTGTAGAAGAATTAGCTCATGCTATGAAAGCAAAGTAGAAAAAATCAAAGTACAGAGATGCTATCTCTGTATCTTCTGGTGAAGTGAATCAGTTAAGAGCATCCTTATGATTAAGAGCTTAGAAAAGAGAGAGGCTCAACCTGAAGCTGTCTGAGAAATGGCTGCTTGCAGAATCTGACCTCTAAATGTGCTGAAAGCTGCCACAAAATGTATTTGTCTTGAAACTGGTATACTTTGGCAATTAAACTGAAGTCAGAATCTTTCAAATCATTGTTCTGTTGAACAACCTCTGCTTGGCTGACCATTTGTTTGGTGTCTCTTCATGTGTCAGTCAGCCACAGAGCTAATTAAGTTCGCCTGTAATACTTTGAGGGTGGGAATGGAATCTTTGCATCAAATTCTATTTTGCCAAGAGTTAGGGTGCTGCAGCTTTATGAATACCACTGAGGGTCAGAGATGGTATTGCATCCCTTACTGCTGCCAGATAAAATGTTAGGGAATGTTATTTTTGTCCAGTGGAGAGCAATCCAAGTATGGCACTGCACAAGAGGAGAGAAATCCTCTGGCTGCTGCATGAAGGGGTAACTGTGACTGGGGAGCTGCATTGTGTTTGCAGGCACCCCCGTGGCAGGGAGGAATGATGCATCTGACTCCATGCTCTCAGAAGGGTAATTTAGTATTTTATGACACTATATTATATTAAAGAATACTATACTATACTAAGAATACAGAAAAGATCCTTACTGAATGCTAAAATAATGAAAACTTGTGACTCTTTCCAGAGTCCTGACACAGCTTGGCACTGATTGGTCAAAGAGTCAAAACAGCTCACGCCAGAAATCCAATGAAACAATCCCATGTGGGTACACAATCTCCAAACACATTCCACATGAGCAAAACACAGGAGAAGCAAATGAAATAATTATTGTTTTCCTTTTCTCTGAAGCTTCTCAGCTTCCCAAGAGAAAAATCCTGGGCAAAGGGATTTTGTGAATGCCACAGAGCTGCTGTCAGTCTCAGGGCAGAGCTGTGCCCCAGCACCTAGAAATGCACTGTCTGCGTGTCCATGTGTCCATCTCAGCCTGGCAGTGGCTCCTGGTGGACTTTTACTCCCCTGGGACACCCCTGGCATCCTGAGGTTGAGTTCCCACATAAATTCTCTGGTGTGCCCTGAGGGATAAGCTCATGCTTGACCTTGGAAAGCCCATGGTTCTATTCCTCTTCAGCTGCTGGTCAGTGAAATGCCACCATTTAGTACATCAGAGATGTCTGCTGCTCACAGAAGGTGACTGAATTTGGTCACAACGCTCCAAAATTATTGCTGTGTCCAACAGGTAGACATGGTTGGTCACATGGGCAGGTTTATAACATGGTCTCAAAAGCTTTGCTGATTTAAGACACAGATAACTAAAACCAAAGTTTGAAAAGTCTGTTTTTCAGTTCCACTACAAAGTAAAAAGAAGGAATATCATCTGGCTAATTTTCCATATTCCACTTTTTTGAGCATTTTAAATTATTATTTAATATTTCTGCTTAGTTTAAAGAAAAATTTTAAAGTTTCAATTCCAGTTAATCTACTTCCCAGGTGCTAATTTTAATGTAAAAGGCAATTGAGTTAAAATGTCAAACTGCAGATTCATTTACTGAGATGATTATGAAGTAAACCATTCTGATTCTGGTAGCTCTGCAGTAGGAAGTAATTGCCAATTACTGCTTGCTTTGCTGTGGGTCACAGACTGCCCTCTCATCCCTTTCTGGCTGGTGGCACATCTGCTACTACTACAAAATGTTCTGAATTTAAAAAAAAATATATATATTCTTGTCAACTTTTCTCTCCCCATTTTTTTTTATCTGGGTGCAGCATATTTGAAACCAAAAGTAAATAAAAAGTCTGGGGAGCATAACCACCTGTCCCAGAGCTAATGCACCTGATTGTGCCATTAATTGTTTCATGTTCCATTTACTGGGGGAAAATATGTGTTCAGTGACCTCTCTTTGCATTTTTTTATATGGTTGTCTAACACAATCAATCATTTAAGCAAACATGTTGGAAGGGAGGTGGTGGCACATATTTTGAATATTCTCTACATTGGCTTTCTACCAATCTCTACAATACTCAGTTTAATGAGTGGTATTCTTATTTTTCCCACCTGAAAAATAGCTTTGCCCATCTATTTCAAACAAGAACAACTTCCTTTTTTGGAAAAATGAGGTTCTGAATCCTGCATAGATGTAGTCTGGGAACTAAGACACTGATGAAAGGCATAAGGACAAATATAAAAAAACAATCCTCTCACTATTGAGGAGAACATCAAATTATCTTCACAGCCAGTAATAGTCACTCTGGCATGCTTATGGCCTTCTTTTGATCCTCATCCACTTCTTCATCCTTCCTTTCACATTCTTCATTCATCCACTGGATGGAAACACTGATACAAACATCTACTGATATTTCCATTTTGTTATTAGAACTTAAAGCATGACTTGCTTTCTCCAGAACCACACTTCTATTTATGGCTTTCTCTTCCCCCTGATTGTCAGTATCTCTTAAAGCCATTATGATATTTTCTGCTACCGGAAAGGAAAAAAAAATTTCTAAGAAAAGCTAGAGTGACATGAAAAACACAAAAATCCTAGTTTTACAAGACTGGTAATTTTCCTGCAGTCTTTCTTCACTAGATCTCTCTGTCTGTACTTTTAAGGAGCCCAGAAGTGGAGATGACCCTGGAGCGTGCAGTGAGCATTCTGAAGAGTGAAAACACACAGTCCACCCCCAGGATCCTTGCTGCAGTGACTTTCATTCAGCATGAGTGCTTCCAAAAAGCAGATGCCAGGAGAAAAGTAAGTAATTATTCTTTTGCCAGTTACAATCAGGCAGAGAAAATCAGATTCTATACTGTTCTGTACTTTATTCTATTCTATTCTGTACTTTGTGGCACTGTGTGTCAACGTGAAAATAAGGAAGGCAGTCTGAGTAACCATATAGGATACTGATGGTAGATATTTTCTCTAAAATGCATTGATGTGTTTTGCTGCAGATTCTTTTGAACCTACTCATTGTACACCCACTCATTTTCCCCTTTTTCAGCCGAACAAACTTAATGCTTTCAGCCTTTATAAATAATGGAATCTGAACTTTTGGTCAGTATACTTGCTCCTGTCTCCCATTTTTGACTTGCATGCAGAAATATCCCAAAAACCAAAATTCTAAGTACAGTGCAAGCTTATCCAAGCTTCAGGGTTTGTTAGGACTGCTCAAATGTGTTAAAAAAGTACATGGATTAGCAGAAATGTTAAGGGTTCACTGGAACTGTGCATATGCATTAGTACATTGTTTAGATTTACCAAATTTTCAAGATTTGAAATTTTCTCCTACAAGAAACTTAAGTGTCTTAGAAGTTTTTTGAAAGGGTCTATTAAAAATATTCTCCCTTTTCTTTAAATGTCACTAGTGGACACAAATATGTCTCTCCTGCTGAACAGTTCCGTACAATAAGTGTGATTGCTTATTTTAACCATTAATAGACATTATTACACGTTTTGGTTAGTAGCATGCTCAGTAATCCCAGCCTTACTTCCATAATTATGTGCATGCAGTCCAGTTCAGTGACAGCCAAATGTGTCTCTGTCCTTTGTACTTGCTTCAGGGTACATCAGAGTCAGTTTTGGGGGAAAATAACAGTACAGGTGTCAACCTTAACTTCAAACTGAGGACAGAGCTTCAGAATTGAATGTTTGAAAGTGGATTCTTACACAGACCTCTCTCAGGCAGCTTCCCAGAAAAACAATGGCTCAGTAGTGTCCAGGTTGGAGCAGTCAGCCTGAAGCTGCCTTTCATTTTCCTGTCTATCCCACATATCCTGTAATGAGCTTTTCTGTTTGGTGCCCATCGGATTTGTTCACATTGGCATGGTCTTGTGTCCCCTCTTTAGCCTTTCAGCCTGCATTCTTTGTCTATTGTTCCCTGATACTTGAGAGTTTGTGGGTCTAGTGGTTTTTCTGTTTCTGTGAACTTCTCAGCATTTTGGTGAATTTTCTCTACTAATGAAAATTTAGAAGGACCAGTCAATAGCTGTTGTAAATTCTCGGCAAATTAGGTTGAAATAGCACTCCTTTTACAAGAGCTATAAATGCCTTAAAATTATTGACAGAAAGTCTGCAGAAATATTTTTAAAAACCAAACAACCACAGTGTTGGTGTCAAAAGGGCTGATGTACTGCAATGAAATGGGTTGATGTGCCTTCAGCATGCTCTGTGCACCACTGCCCTCGCCACAGATATTCCTGTATTCCACTCTGCTGGCATTTAGGTGATTGCTGAGAGATTGCAGGGGGAATCAGCTCAGCAGAGCAGGATAAAGAAACTGTGCCTTCTGTACAGGTGGATCAGAGGAGAGGCTGCCAGGCTGTGCAGTTTACTCCATGAAGGACAAAAGGCTTTGTTGCATTCCATTTCTTCGTGTTGCCAACACCCGCTGGTTGTACTGAATTCTTTTTATCATTAAACTCTGGGCTGTTTAAGACACTTGTATCAGATTTCTGAGTCTTTCATGTGCTGTTGGTTCTGCACAAGGGTGAGTTTGTCCACAAAACCATATGGCATTTTGAGATGCTGGAGGAGACCCTTGGCAATGGTACATTAATGTAAGGTACTTTCCATGGTAAATTCATTCCTGAGTCAGCTCAGGCTTGCTTGTGTCATGTCACAGTTTGTATGGGATTCTTCATTCACCACAACAAACTATTTGTTTCCATACAGCTACTGTAACATAACATCCTTTAAGTCCTTCATTCCTTTGGGGCCAAAAGCTCATTTTCTGAAGATTTAAACGCTGAAAAGTAGTCTGTTCTTAATGTGGGTAGTTTGGTAGATAGCTGGCTAACAATGCTTAATGCTCTACATTTGGATGCTTACTTTTACTATTCTTCCTCTGTGTGGCATTGTTAAGAAGTATTAAGTATAATGTATTGGTTTTTAATACACTTTCAATACATGCATTGGGAAGAACGCTGTCTTTTCATCAGGCTGGTTGCTGAGAAAAAAAAAAACAAAAAAAACCAAAAAAAAACCAAAAAAACAAAAACCTGTTTATAAATGTTCCAGAATTAAATCTCTAATATTCATTTCACCAACATGGAAGCTAAAGAGCAGAGTGATTAAATGTCTTGTCAGAGAGTACAAATCTGTGGCAAAGCTAGAAGAGATTTAGTAGCATTCTCTGATATTAATTATGAAAACAGGTTGCCTCTTCTAGTTGTGGATTTTAAGTATTAGTCATACAAAAGCCCAGAGGTTAATAGTCATGTCCAAATGATTAATGATCTGTGCTTCAAGTCTCTCAAATAGGAGCAAATGAGAGGAGTCCCTATAACTATTTAAACGTTTGCTGGGGCAGGGGAAAGGGGAGTTTGTCATTTACAGCATCTGACTATCTCTGCTGTGCTCTGTTTTCCTCACAGGTCTTCTCACTTGGTGGTATCCCCAAGCTTTTGCAGCTCCTTGAGGTTCAGAATGAGGACATTCAGCGGGCGGCATGTGGTGCTCTGAGGAACTTGGTGTTTGAGGACAATGACAACAAGCTGGAAGTGTCGGAGCAGAAGGGGATCCCGCTGCTGCTCCGCCTGCTCCGGCACACCAGGGACATAGAGACCAAGAAGCAAATCACAGGTAGTGTTTGCTCTGCAGCCGAGCGTGAAGTGCTTCAAGCGGTGCGAAAGCTTTCAGGGAGAGGTACAGGATTGTTTAGTGACTAAATACAAAAACATTGTCACCTACTCTAAGCAATTCCCGGAGGGTAAAATTCCAAGGTCATTACCCAAGACCGGTCTTTCAGTCAGTAACAAGAGATTGGGAACTGCAGCTTCCTCTCTTACAGCTTCTTCAGAGATGAAGTGAGTGTGCTTGCAGGAAGCTTTAATTCCTTGATATTCCAGGAAAGAAAGTCAGGCTCCCTAGGGGTGCTGGGGACCATAATAAATGCCTGCTACTTACCCAGCAGCTCAGCGTTAATTTTTTGACTCTGTGCTGACAGCACTTACTGGAAGTTGAACACCCAGAGCTGTCCTGTGCCCTGGACAGAACGTGCTTGTTTTGTTCCCCACAAACCCCACTGCCCCAGATTCCTGCTTCATCCCTGCAGTCCCTAGTGTGTCTCTTGGAATTCCACTGCTTGTGGCCCACATTCTTTCTAATTAACATGCAAAGGAAGAGCAGGCTTATATTTTATAAATGGAAAACATGAATAAATGAATGGGGCTTTATTTCAAGCGAGCTTTAAAGACACCAGGAACAAAATCCATTAAGAGAACAGTGTGTGAAAAGATACTGAAATTGCCAAACAGCCCTGTCCTGAAGCAAAGACATGTTGAGACTTTCTGCAATTCTGCATTCTTTAAAGTATTTTAAATACTCCACCCCCTAAGCTTGAGAACAAAGCTTTGTATTGTTGGCTCTTTTTTAGCTCAGTTCTGCATCGGTTTTTTTTTTTTTTAGCTGCAGCTCTACAACGTTAAAATGTTTTGAAGTTGTTCACACTCATCAGTTGCAGAACTGGGTCACACAGTAATTTACTGCACAGTGCCTTAACTCTCAGTGCTGTCACAGACCAGTGAGGGAAGCAGTGACAGTGGTGGCAGAGTGGCCAGAAAGCCAATGCTCTTTTCTTGCTAGCAGTTCCATAATTTCTGACAAAAATATTGAATGTGCCAGATAATTCACATGTATATTGTGAATATTACTGTCTTCCCCTTCACCAGTGTGGAAATGGATAAAGGAACATTTTCTTTCAGCAATTACTGCTGTCACTGAATGTGAATATTTACTCACAAAACAAAGAAGACACCAAAAAATATTTATGCCAAGCAGTATGATGTACTTTGTGTAAAGCAAAATATTATGATGTGCTTTCATGCCTATCAGTTGCAAAGGACAACTTTAAAAATACACCAAGAGAGAAATTTCTTATTTTGCTCAAGACCAAATGTGCAGCCAGGAGGAAATGCACTGGGTACCTTAGTGAAAATGCCACCAGGGCATACTTTTTGCCATTGCTTGAACAGTTCTTCCAGCCCCTTAGCAAGCTGCAAGGAGCCTACAAGAGCAAAGGGCAGACTGGATGAATAATTTTACCTCTTGCATTGCCTTTGACTTCATACAGGACTAGTGGAATATCATATCTATGCATGCAATCTCTCTAAAATGTGCACTTCCAGGAAAAGGTTAATGTGAAAGATTTAGTCTTACACCAGTCAGCACCAGAAGTCCATTTGTCTTTCCTCACCCTGCTTTGACTATAAATTAGGGACTTCCAAATGTATGGCATCATATTCAGCTAAATGTCTTTGCCTATAAAAGATTTGTAAAATCATCTTGGTACCTGATAATACCTCATGGAACTGTAGTGAAAAACTCCTGGCCAAGGATTGAAAGCATGCAATAGATAATAAAGATGTCTAAGCTCAGCAGAGGGAAGTTTTTTGTTTCTACTGCTGTGTGGGAAGCATGGTACCAAAGCACTCCACCTGACAAAAGTATATGAAATAAGGAAGTTTTAGGAGAGAAGGAAATCAAAACTGAGATGGCAGTTTTCTGATACTGTACTTCATTACATGTCAGGAATACAGTCCTGGTGCACTTGAGATAAGTCAATCTCAGCCTTAGAAGCTTATCTTTAAAGGTCACTGGTTTATGAGGACCATCAGTGTTGATACAGACAAGCACTTGCCTAACATTAATCCATATTTTATCATAAGTTCTCAAGGAATACTTTGATGGCCTGGGTTTTCTTCAGGACCCAGGCTTAGGAACACAGAGTGAGCCACTGCGCCTTGCATTGTGCTGTGAAAAGACTGAGAGCATCCCAAGTGTGTGGAGATAAATGCAGATTACAGCATGTGCCTCACAGTCTGTGAGCACACAAAAACCACCAAACCAAAGCAGCTTTGTGCTGATGACAGGGGTTTGAAAGCTGCTGTGGGCCAGCCTGCCCAATGCCCCCCTAATGCAGAAAAGAGCTGCCCAGTTCCTCTGCAGTTTCTGTGCTCATGTGATCTCTTCACAAGGGGAATCAGACCTGCCCAAGATCACTGAATTTGACTGAATTTGGGAGCTTCACAAAAGCATTGATACAGATAAAGTAAAGAGAGGCTCTGTCCTTGCTTTGGCACACAAGCTACTTAGAAAACTCTTAGAGAAGGAGTGAGGTTCCTCCTAAATTGTAGGAGAGAATTTCATTTGCAGGACCTAAGATGGGATTGGAGTTGTGTAGTATTTGGAGAGCATACTGAAAATAAAATGGCTGTGGCATGAAAGAACCAAAAGATTTTAGCTTTTAAAGGTAAGCCAGATGAGCCTCCAGGGAGCAGCTAACCTCCTGATCCTGTTATCATGCAGCATAAATATAAGAAATGAAAGAAAATTTTTCCTGCGGGGAAGATTACAGCATGAGCAGAACTGTCATTAAAAGAAATGTAAATCTAAAGGCAGACCCCACCCATTTTTCCAAATAACCATCTAAGGGAAAACTGTGCTCCTCAGAACATAGCAAAGGTGCAAGGAAACAATCCACTCCTAAAGACATTTCCTAATGTGCACAAATTCATCCACACCCAGAATACCACTGAGAGAATCCTTCTGAGCCCAGGGAGACAGTGCCTGTGGGTAAAGGTAGGGCTTTTGTTGGAAAATTTACAGTGAGAGCACTATCTCAAATTCTCTTCTGACAACTCTAGTATCTGCCTGTAATTCCAAATGTATATTTTTCTTTTTAAATGTATATTCTGTCCTTGTGCCATTCCTTGCATTTGTGCCCTTCCGTCTTAACTTGCTTAGCTTAGCAATGCCCTTTGGACTGCTTGTCTGTTTTCCTGTAAGCCTTACCTATCCTTCAGAAAAGCACATTCTTCCTTTCATCCCCTGATTCAGAGGCTGAAGAGCTGATCACAGAAGAAGGAATGGGCTGCTGCTGGCTGGCTTTTGTTTTCATTTTACTGTTGCTCACAATAACTGAAATTAAATTCAAAGTGTAAGGAGATACAAAAGAAACATTTTTGTTGTTGTTCTTGTTGTGAGCTGATGAAAGGAACATTCACTAATACTCTGCCAGTGTGTGGAGGAGGAGGTCTGTGAAACTTAGAGCAGCAAGCTGGAGGAACAATGAATGTCTTTGTGGTGAAAAGCAGAAATACGTGTTGTTTTCCAAGGGAAGAGGACTTGAAAAAAGAATTGTTGTCTGTTGGAATAGAACATAATGGAAGCTGTTAAGTTCAACAAGTTTATATTTGAAATTAGTCTTGGAGATTGTGAGTGGACAAGGTTTGTAGCATTGCTGAATGGTTTGTTTAGTGACTAATGCCTGGACAGTAGCAGCCAACCAGTGTTAACAGCTTTCCCTCTTAGGAGAAATTTTGCTATCAAGTGTTAGAGAAACTTGGTAAGGGGCATTTCCTGCCTTCCAGCAGATCTCCTGGAAACTCTCTGCACCTCCCATCTACCCCATTTTTGAGTTTGTTTTCCCTTAGCTTGTGCTGCTTTGCTATAGAGAAGGTGATTGCAGCAGATGGACAATGCAGAGCCATGGAAAGCTGCACTTCTTGGCTGGGCATTAGACTGACTGTGTAGAGATTTTACTTTATTCACATAGGTAACTGTGCCCCCCTTTTTTTGCCCTGTTTCCATGTCCCTGGATCAGGGCTGGTGAGCATTCACCAATCCCTTCTGCTTCTCTCCAGATGATCAGTGACAGGCAGGCTCTCCACTCATTGACACCAAGGGGTGTGAGATTAAGTCTTTCAAAGTGCAGAGCAGTATTTTTGCCTCTCTGATTTCCTTGTGGCTGTTACAGGTTTGCTGTGGAACCTGTCCTCCAATGACCAGCTGAAGCACCTGTTGGTCAGAGAAGCCCTGCAGACCCTGACTGAAGCTGTCCTCATCCCCCACTCAGGCTGGCCAGACAGAGATTACCCAAAATCAAGTGTTCTGCCTGACCCTGATATCTTCTACAATGCCACAGGATGCCTGAGGTGAGCACTCTGTCTACAGCTGCCCAAAGCAATGGTGATGACAAAACAGCTCTGCTCAGTTATTTTTGGATAAATACACAGAGTCCATCTCAAGCCACAATCACCTCTCATGCAAACAGATGACTCAGAAAGGGGACATGGTACCTACAAGCACATAAATATCTTCTGTTTCCAGCTGCTACCAAAGATGCTTACTTGAAGATATCATAATCTGTGCCTAAACTGATTAGAAAGTGATTCAACTTAAATTATGGGACAGCCATGTTTTAAACCAGAGTAAGCCCTGTGCAACCTTCTGCACAAGTTCAAGCAAGTTGCAGCCATGGGGTGGAGGAATAGATTTATAGTTGTGTATTTAGTACTGCAATCTGCTAATAGACTGTGGGCACAGTAGCAGTTACTACAGAGAAACACTCAAGGCCTCAATGAACACACATCTAAATGGCTGAAGTATAAAAATCACATCTTCAATAAAAATATCTTTAACAGCCTATAAACTGGGGGCCCTTTGTGAGTTCAAAGTCATTGCACATTAAGTAAGTTTACACATTTTAAAAATGCACAAAAGGACACAGTTTGAACTGCCTAAGGAGTAATGTACAACTGCAAAGGCATGACCTGAGGTTTAAACTCCCTCTAGGAGAGTACAAGGAATGAAGTTTGGAATTTGGAGGCTGGAAAGGTGCCCATTTTGCCTCAGACATACCTGCTATGCTGACATGTCCTATAGCACAGTGTTTGTATGTGTATGGCACTGATTTTTCCTGTGCAACAGCTCTGTACCTGACTTGTGTGGTTTCAGAAGACAAATGAATTTTAAGCTATACAAAATACTCAACAGCAACCTTTTTTTGCAGGAACTCCTGTCAGCCCACTAACTGCTAATTAACTTCATCTCTAAGTAATAATTAACTTCTATTTACTCTGATGACTCAAAACCAAATACAAATAAATACTGACCACCCATAATAAAACCTCTCTAGGTAAGTCTTAGTGCTGCTGTCTAGGAAATGAAGGAAGTTTTCTTTTTTTATATTAATTAGCCCGAGCTGCATTTGTGCAGAAACCAGTCTGGCTGCTCCTCTCTTCATGTTTGGACTCTGGAACTGTCTCTTCCCTATGAGGCAGCTGATGGTGGCACAGATAATCTCAGGTTTAGCTGGTGTTGCTCTTCCTGAGCTTGTTTTAGCAGATTGACAGGACTTGTTCTGTGACAAATAAGGTGTAACAGTACCTGGGTTCTTTTAAATGAAAGTGGATTCCTGGGTTAACCTTACTCTGGACACAAAGTCAGTGCTTGGGACTGCTCCAGAATTGCTGTGAGCTTTCCAGCCTTAGTTAAAAGTCTCTGAAACTGCCCTTATGTAGGTACTTAAGGATACATTACCTATTTTAAAAATATGACATCCACATTCTAATCCTTCTCATTTTTAAGAGCTTCAACACTGAAAATTAGAAATAGAAAAAAAAAAAGGGGCTTGAAAACTCCCAGGTAAAGATGATCTGCAGGATTGTCTAGCACAGAATAGTTTTTAATGACGCTTACCTATTTGTACAGACTAAATAGCTGAAATCTTTAAGATTAATCACTTTGCATCTCTTCTCTGGAAACTGACTCACCTCCCAGATTAGATCACTAGATTTATTCCTTCCTTATGTATTAGGAAAACAGAAAATCTCTGCATCAATAAAAAGAGCACACCATGGAGTAATGAAAGCGTGCACTGAGGGAATGATGTTACTTATGAATATGTTAAAAGACTCCACTTATTTGCCAGAATATAAATCTGTAATTAGTCTTCCCTTTTGTGATGCTAACGTGTTTGTTGGGTGTGTTGGTAGAGTCTATAGCCTGCAGCTCCTATTAGAGGGTAAAAACACTGCTTTGAAGTGCAATACATTATGCACAGTACTGTATTTAGTTACAGGAGAATGCCAGAACTTCTTTTCAAAAATTCCCATAAAACTGTTGACTGAAAAGGACAAGCACAGCCCAAACCAACCCCAGCACCTGGTGGGGGTATGTGCACTGCACCACACCATGACCAGATTATAAATCAAAGCTTCCTTCATCCTTTGTGAGAAAACAGCAGCAGGAGAAGTGAATCCATGTCTAGCAGATAATATTGCAGGTACTTCAAGCACTTGAATGAGAGCATGACCAGACCAGTCCCCAGCTCCTGCCAGAAGCAGTGGGGTCCTGAATCTCTGTGTCACTGATAAGAAGGAAGTCTGACCTTAGAAGGATTTGTTAATCCCATTCTTTAGGTCTGCATTTTGTCTTAGGAACCTGGGAGAAGCAAAACCTTACAGAAACCACAGGTCACGAGCTTTATGTAGTAAAAAGAAGCTGTGTAAACCACGGAATTCTGAATTGGCAGTGAAAATAAGTAATAGTGTTTTTTGGTTGTGAAATATGAGAAAATGCACTCTGCTTGGACCCACAGAGTAAGCCAAATCAGCAGACTTCACTGCCTGCCTGACAATAAGCTGAACAAGTAAAACTGGTGTATTAAACTATCTAGAGGAGTGTTACAGACAATTGTAGACAAATCCTGTAGGATTTTAAAGGTAAAGTCTCTTTTTCTTGGCCTGAAAGTCTTACACATAAAAGTTCTGCTTCTAGTTCCAATGCAAAGGATAAAAATCTTACTTCCCCATACCCCTGTGTCTGAAAGGATAAGATCCCAGCAGCATGTAGAATGCATGGTTTTGAATATTATCTATATACATAAGTGAACCTCTGGCTTGGTTTTTCCTCTGAAAGGAAGGTTAGTAGAAGGCTGTTGGATAACACCTTGAAAGCTGATAATGAACTGGTTCCATTTTTATCTTGAAACACCTTTTCCCAGAACTTCTGCAATGCTGAACTTTCCCAAATTTATACACACTTATCACATTCTCCCCTGCAAAACATTTAATTTAAGTGCTGAAGCTGCTGTACTTCACTACAGAGTCTTCCTTTTTATCTGCCCTGTAACTGAAGCATCCTCTGCCTCTACGTATTCTAGTTTTTCAAAACTTTCTAGACAACTATTTCCAGGACAGTCAGCTAACCTCTCTCTTCTCACCCAGGAAAACAAAAGTCATCCTTCCTTTTTCATTATTATTTTTCACAGTTTGTCCGTCCCAGCCCCTGTCTGAGCCCCCTGTGAATTACACAAGGACAGTGGAGAGCTGTGTTTGGAGGGAATTGTGTCACTGCAACCCAGGAGGCTGCAGAAACATCTGCTTCTATTTACCCTGGAGAAAAGTGAGGCCAAAGCTCTCCCCATGTCTTGAAAAGCTTGGACTCACAGTGGCAGTTCCTAAGAGAGAAAGTAAAACAAGTGACTGATGATAATAAGTCTTTGAACCAAGGCCTCTTGCATAGCATTGCCATTCCTTTAGGTTTATTTCCATCCATTCTTATCTCCTCTTGCCTCCTCTTCAGTTTATCTGCTCCCCCAATTCCTGAAAGGAATTTTGTTACTTCCAACAAGCAGTTGGAAGCCTGGCACATCTAGTTACCAAGTGGATACCTTTACCTCCTTGGTGAATTTTTGAGCTGTGCAAGGTATGAAGGGAAAAGAATTTCCAAAAATGCTGTCTGGAAATTAAATTCCTATTACCAGTTTTAGCAGGATGAGTCCCAGGAGCAAAATCCTTCTTCTTATCAGTTACGTGGACCATTGAGAGCAGTTCAAGAACCTTCTCCAACAGTCAGTGCATGACTCAGTGTTGGCTTAGAGGGAGTATCCCTTTCATTTGCTGCCATTTATCAGCTAATTGAACATTTATTATCATCATTCCATTTACTTCAAAGTCACCCTTGGTTTAACTGTGTCGAATGTCTTTGTATCTACCTCACAACTCTCGATCAAAATAACATTTCCCAACAGGAAATTAGCTGACCCTCACCCCAGGACTGTGGGCAAAGAGTTATTTTATATCTGATTACAGTTGCACCATGCATGTGTGCAGGAGGGGATGGAAGCAGAAATGCAAGATGAGATAAATGAGGCGTGCAGACAGATCAGCAAATGTCACAGTTTGGGCACGTCACCAGGATTACCACAGCCAAGCATGCCCAAAGTCAGGCATTTTTCATAAATGGGTGCTGCCAAATTGTAAGTTCTGAGTCATTTAGATGAGAGCATTCCCACAAGTGGCAATCTCCCCAAGGCTGTGTTCTCCTCAATTTTACAAGCGCTGAGTATTTCAGGGCCTCCTGGAACTCCACTACAATCAAATCCAGCTCCCGAGCTCAGAGGGTGGCATTTGAATTGTCAGGAACCTCAAATCTTAGGAAGCCAAGATGAAGTCAGTTTTTAAATTCTCTAAGCAAAATGTCTCCATTGTTTCAATATATATATATTTAAATTTACATTTCTGTGACACTTCTTAGAAATTATTTTGTTTTTTTTTTATAAATTGGATGATATTTATATCTCCTGGAATTTCTCAAGCCTCAGTCAGCAAACAAATTTAAGCTGTCAGCTGAGGTTTTGCCTGAAATGCTCTTGTCTGACCCTGTTTTGAGTAAGGTGGGTACAGCAGTGTTTGGAGGGGTGGGAGAGCAGGAGCTCTTCCCTTCCCAGTCCACGATGTCACCCTAAGGACACAGGGAAAGGGGGACAGAGGAGCTATCTGTGTACAGGTGTGCACAGGGACACTCACTGATACCTGAATCTGGATGAGCATCAGCTTCTTAATGAAACAGAGCCCAGGAATTCATTTCCCTTGCAGAAAAGGACAGTGCCCCTAATTCAGGTTCTTCTCTGCCTCCTGAGCTAGAAAAGCTCTTTGCTCTGCTCCTGCTGACAGCAAAGCCAGGGCATGGGCTCTCCTTGCACAGGCATTCAGCAGGAGCAGTTGTGAAAAGTTCGGGGGATTTTAGAATATGTGGGACAAAACCAAACACTGCATCAGCTGAAGTGTCTTTGGCAAGGGAAATTCCACACTTATCTTTAACAGTATTTTTAGTCTGTGTGCCCCAGAAACTATTTTTGCTATGCACCAGGAGGGCTGTACACTTCTGTCAGCATAAACATAGGAAAGGGTGACATGCCTTGACTGTGACACATATAGGTGAAATTAAATTCCAAAGGGATTTATATGGCAGGCCATGTTGTGGGATCTGGATATTGATTCTGTGATACATAATTCCATGAGAGAATAAATGAACTCATAAATAGAGACATCATTAACATCATGACCTAAAGTAAAATTAAATGACCTAAAATGACCTAAAGTAAAATTAATGTAATTACAGTATGTAATTACATGTAAAAAAATTACAGTAAAAAATTACATGTAAAAAATGTAATATTACAGGTATGTAACCTGAACATGTACTTCCCAGAGGAAAAAAAAAAATTAGTAGAAGTAAAATGACAGTGTATAAAATGCTACATTCATTTTACAGTCGTAAGCCACAGGAAAGCTTAAACCTTACTAGCTTTGTCATTAATAAAATTGTAAACATTGTCATTTTTAATGGGCAAAACATGGAAAATAAGCAACCTGAAACTATCTAAAGAAACACATCCCTCTGTGTTTGGATGGATGCTAAGATTGGCATGGGCTAATATTTAATGTTATTTCAAACAAAGAAGCTTGAATGTCCTTTGTCCAGCAGAGCTGCAGGAGTCAAAAAAAAAAAAAAAAAAAACCTGGATTTACAATTCTGGTATTCCGTAATTCAGACTTTGCTGAGTTGTAAAAATAATTATACCTCAAATGTGCAAGTGTTGTTTCTTCCATCGGTAGCTCATTTAGAGCCAAGCAGCTTCAAGCAGAAAGTGTGTGTTTGGTGTGTCAAGAGTTTTTAAATCAGTTTTGTAATTCATTTGTAAGTTGTACTTGGTTTACTACAAAGCCCAGCAAATGTTGCTTGAAAGGCAGGCAAAGGGTGGGTCTGTGCATGTGGATGTGGAGATGCTGCTGAAACTCTCAGACCATGTGCCTGTAGATGGGTCATCTTGGATCAAAAACCAGCTCAGTGTAAGTAAATTAATTCTAAAGGACATCTGTGTGTGTGGAAATTTTTACAGGCATCCCTCCTCTGATATTTTCACCATCCTAGATATTAAAATTATAACTGAAAATGCAATATCGAAAACAAGTCCAAGTTTTGGTTTGGTTTTTTTTTTTTTTTTTTTTGACTGCTTAAAAAGGATTGACGCAACTTTGAGATGAAAATTTGAGCCAGATCTTACCTTACCCATCCAACCACAGTGGTTTGTTTCCCCGGAGTATTTATTTTTGTCTGAAAGTTTTATCTAGAGGAGGCTCAGATTGTCTTACACCTCTGAAGAAAAGACACAGTCAACCTGAACTTCAGTATCTTTAAGTTCTGGCTGGAAAAGTTTGTGAGAGGAGCACAAGAAAATACCTTTGACTAAATCTCTTCTCCCCAACATTGTCTTTCCTGCACAGAAACATGAGCTCTGCTGGCCCAGAAGGAAGGAAGAAGATGAGAGAATGTGAGGGCTTGATTGATTCTCTTGTGTATTATATCCAAGGAGCTATTGCAGACCATGAGCCCAATGACAAGGTACTCTTTGAGATGAAATGTGTTTTCCTAGAGGAAATTGCCAAGTGAACATTTTTCTGTTGTTGTTTAGAAACCAATGTTCAGAAACAGCTGTGATGCAATTGCAAAACTTCTTTCCGAGGCTTTTAAAACTGCCACCAAAGGTGAAAGTCCAGTAAGAATCTTTTTGAAGTATTTTTACCCTGCAATCAAAAATAATAGTATAACTCAGCCCTGGGAAAACACTTTCAGAATATCTAGAGAGAAAGGTAGAAACTTCTGGGTTTTTTTGGGTGGGTTTTTTTGGGTGGGTTTTTTTGGGTGGGTTTTTTTGGGTTGTTTGTTTGTTTCTGTTTGTTTTGGGGTATTGGTTTTTTTTTTTTTTTAAGTGAGATAAAATCACAGCTTTCAGAAGTGCTGGAACACAAAAGAGTCAGATGTTGCCTTTTTGGTTGTCTCAAGGTGCTAGCTAGCTAGAAGCTTAAAAAATCAATCTGCTTACTCTCCTATATATTTAATGCTACTCTCCTATATATTTAATGCTACATAACCTTTAGGAAATTAAGAACCCAAATCCCTTTCGGTGGCAGCGTGATTAAGGAGCTTGCATCATTTAGAACAGAAGTAATTTTCCTAGGTTTTCTTAGAAAAAAAAAAAAACCTGCACTTTTTTTCCTTGCTGCCTAAGCCTAAGGCAGTAACTGCAAGGACATGGACACCTCCAGGTGCCAGTTTCTCTCACTCTTCCTCCCTCCAGCGAGTGCAGGTGAACCCTGGACGCAGATTCTGTGAGCAGAGGCTTGTCTTTCAGTTGGGTGAAGTTGGGTGAGAAGAGCAGCTGTCACTGACATGAGCTGCAGCCTGTAGGGCACCTCTGGTGGGCCTGCCATAGCTTGTGCTGTGCAGTGGTAATTACTGCACATTTATAGCTCTCTTCTAGGATTAGTTACTTGAGCTTGCCCATCTCCCTGTAGCCGGTGCCATTAGCTTCAGGGAGAATCCAGCACATTACACGTGTGCCAGTAGCTCCCTGCTGCATTTTGTCTCAAAACCACTCATTCCTTTTTGGCTTTCAGAAGAGGAGCAACTGGTAACAAAAGCTCTTTGCCACTGGACTCATCACTCAGAAATTGTAGACCTGACCTTAGCCACGTTCAGGAAGGAATGTCTTATTTTAAAAAAGCATTCCACCACAGAAAAATGCTTCCTCCTTGGGGAAGATGAAAAGCTTTCCTCTTGCTGATGCTGTGGTGAGGTGTGTACATGATCATCTTTGCTCCTAAGCCCTTAAACATTTCTTGGCACATTTCTGTGTCGAGCAGCACTCGCCCAAACAATTCCCAGGCACAGCTGAGGAATTCTGATGTCCCAGGACCATTTCCAACAGGCAGGCACCCCACTCCCAGTGCAGCCCCGAGTGCCAGCTGCCTGCTGGGCTCAGGAACATCCCAGGGCATGTTTCATTTCTCAGTGCAAGGCACTCTGGTGGATCACTGCCCTGAAGCCTGGCTCTTCCATGAGGCATTAGAAACTCTGCAGTCAGTTACTGAAGATCCACAAATCTCCTCCCATGTCTGTACATGTCCCTTCAACACTTGCCAAAGCTTTCAATTTTTCTTCTTTTGTTATTTTAGGCCACAGAGAACTGCGTGTGCATTCTACACAATCTTTCCTACCAGCTAGAGCTCGAGCTCCCTGAGAGCTATGCCCAGAACATATATGTGCAAAGAAGAAACATTTCTAACAACGATAAAACACCAGGCTGTTTTGGAACACGGAGCAGAAAAGTAAAAGAGGTAAAGTACACGATTAGTTACATCTCATTTGGTTAATAACTTGTAGCAAACTCTGAACAATAAGGCTGTAATCTAATTAACAGTCTGTTATTGATGTATCTGGTAGGGTGACACTTCCTTGCCCCAAAAATGCAAATTTCTTGATAGTCCTTCTTGATACAAATTCTCTCATTTAGCTTCTGCTGATTGCAATGGCATAACAAATGTTTTATTAGTTGAGGAATACTCACTGGATGGACTGGCCGCTATCATTAAATACTGATATTTTGCACATAATTCTTTGAACTCAGAACTTGACAGTCTCCAAATAACCTGGTCATGCAGAGTTACAAAATGGCTAGTACAGCTCGTGGTGCATTAAGCTACAGAGATCACTGTTTCTAAAGGCTTGATCTGTTGGCATGTTTAGAAGCAGCAGGACACCCCGCTTCCTGAGGAAAAGAGCAATCCCAAAGGTGTTGAGTCGCTCTGGCATTCTACGCTGATTAGGATATACCTCTCCTTAATAGCAAAGAGTACCAGAAGCTACACCCAAGAAGCATCCCTGGGAGCTCTCCAGAACCTCACAGCTGGCACTGGACCAGTAAGTCAGCTTTTTTCTTTTTCTTTTCATTTAGTTCTTGATGTGAATGTGTAGAGTGCATCTGAGCTTAAATAAGCACTGACAAGTCACTGGCTCACTGACACAGTGAAGGAAAATGAAGAACATTGAAGGGAAAGTCATAACCAGCAGTGCAGCTTTTCCTTGCTTGGCAGATAGTGGGGTCTACTTCTTCTCCTTCTGTGTACAGCTCCATGTGTGGAGTTTGCCAATTCATCACACTATGAGGGATGAGCAGATGTTAAAAGCCCTAAAAATGTAATTTTTGTGGAAGACAGTCCTGTGGAGAGAGGAGTGCTCTGACACACCAGCAGATCACTTTTGTGTTGAAGAAAGTAATGGTATCTGTCTGAGAGAGCACCTGGAAGAAAGAAGGCTTGCAACTTCTTTTTTATCACCTCCCTTTCTTGTTGCAACTCATTTGTAACTGGCTTAAAACTATTTGAAATATGCTTAAACTGGTGCAGAGAGCTGGCTGTGTGTGGCTTTTTTGAGGCTCTGCACTGGTGGCAATGACTCAAAATGCCTCTCCACAGATGCCATTGGCAGTGGCCCAGACTGTTGTGCAGAGGCCAAATGGGCTCCTGAGTGTCCACACGGTGCTGCACATCAGCCACCCTGCAACTCATATGTAACTGGCTTAAAATTGTTTGAAATGTGCTTAAACTGGTGCAGAGAGCTGGCTGTGTGGCTTTTTTGAGGCTCTGCACTGGTGGCAATGACTCAAAGTGCCTCTCCACAGATGCCATTGGCAGTGGCCCAGACTGTTGTGCAGAGGCCAAATGGGCTCCTGAGTGTCCACACGGTGCTGCACATCAGCCACCCTGCAACTCATATGTAACTGGCTTAAAATTGTTTGAAATGTGCTTAAACTGGTGCAGAGAGCTGGCTGTGTGGCTTTTTTGAGGCTCTGCACTGGTGGCAATGACTCAAAGTGCCTCTCCACAGATGCCATTGGCAGTGGCCCAGACTGTTGTGCAAAGGGCAAGCGAGCTCCTGAGCATCCGTGCCATGCTGCACGTCAGCCACCCTGCAACTCATTTGTAACTGGCTTAAAACTGTCTGAAATATGCTTAAACTGGTGCAGAGAGCTGGCTGTGTGGCTTTTTTGAGGCTCTGCACTGGTGGCAATGACTCAAAGTGCCTCTCCACAGATGCCATTGCCAGTGGCCCAGACTGTTGTGCAAAGGGCCAACAGGCACCTGAGCACCCGCACCATGCTGCACGTCAGCCACCCTGCAACTCATATGTAACTCTGGTCTAAAACTATTTGAAATATGCTTAACCTGGTGCAGAGAGCTGCCTTTTTTGAGGCTCTGCACTGGTGGCAATGAAACAGAAGTGACTCTCCATAGTTGCCATTGGCAGTGGCCTGCGCTGTTGTTCAAAAGGCAAGCGAGCTCCCGAGCACCCGTGCCATGCTGCACGTCAGCCACCCTGCAACTCATATGTAACTGGCTTAAAACTGTTTGAAATATGCTTAACCTGGTGCAGAGAGCTGGGTTTTTCTGAGGCTCTGCACTGGTGGCAATGACTCAAAGTGCCTCTCCACAGATGCCATTGGCAGTGGCCCAGACTGTTGTGCAAAGGGCAAATGGGCTCCTGAGTGTCCACACCATGCTGCACATCAGCCACCCTGCAACTCATTTGTAACTGGCTTAAAACTGTTTGAAATATGCTTAAACTGGTGCAGAGAGCTGCCTGTGTGTGTGCTTTTTTTGAGACTCTGCACTGGTGGCAGTGTCACAAAGTGTCCTTTCCATAGATGCCATTGGCAGTGGCCCAGACTGTTGTGCAAAGGGCAAGCAAGCTCCTGAGCCTCCGTGCCATGCTGCACATCAGCCACCCTGCAACTCATATGTAACTCTGGTCTAAAACTATTTGAAATATGCTTAAACTGGTGCAGAGAGCTGGGTTTTTCTGAGGCTCTGCACTGGTGGCAATGACACAAAGTGCCTCTCCACAGATGCCATTGGCAGTGGCCCGCACTGTTGTGCAAAGGGCCAACGGGCTCCCGAGCATCCGCGCCATGCTGCACGTCAGCCACCCCGCCGTGAAGAAGACAGCGGTCTCCCTGCTCAGGAACCTGTCCCGAAACCCCTCCCTGCAAAATGACATAGGTGAGCAAAAACTCAGAGCTTACTCTGCTCTCTTCACATCAAAGTTTCCTGCTTTGAAAGAAAGAAATGTTGGAAAAACCCCTGATCTGTGAGTTTTGTAGATTTTTCACCAGATACTTGCGGTCACTGTATACAGGGCTTAAAATTAAGAGTTTTGCCTAAACAAGCTTTTCACTCTATTGGGTATTCCTCTTCAGATACTTCCACTGGTGTTACTTTCAAAAATACATAATTGAAGTAAATTCTACACAGATTTGGAGAGGGAGTTTTTCTTCTGCTCAGAATAGGGTAAAGGAAGGTGATTGCTAAGTTTTGTGCTGCCACAGCTGCATAATGGTTCACAAGAAATCACAGAGCATCTCTAATTCTTCTAGCAAAGATCAGACTCTCTCTTATTAGACACAAGGCTTTAAAAGTCTGCAGCCCACACAGTTTTCCTGCTATTTTTTTAATAATGGAAGCTATAATATTTTCATATTTTATAATATAAAAATAGTTAATTCTTTTAAATGATCTCATTTCTACATAAAGCCATTTCTATTCTGAGTATTCTCATTTCAATTTATTGTGTATTTAAGACTTTATCCCACTGACAGGATAAAATGTGTTCATATAATTTGTTGTTCTTTTTCGTTTTCCCACCAAGAGGGAAAGGGGAAATTCCAGGTATAAAGATAGCTCACGGGACAGATTACCCTCCAGAATTCTGCAGAACAGTCTCTTGGACCTTGCTTGAGCCTTAAAGAGCATTCCCTGTTAATGAAAATCTTATAACATGTTGTTGGGCTGATTTCAGAGGGATAATCCATATGGTGTTAGCAATTACAGGTGGTGAATCCCCCTGAAAGAGAAGAAATTAAACTGATAAAAAGTTGTGATGTCATCAGGAAAAAATAATTTATGAGAATATGGGAAAGACAGAATAGCACAAAGCTTTGGGGGCAGGTGCTTCATCTTGCACATTCACAGTTGTTCTTGTTTTACTCATAATGGAGAGGACTGGGGGAATTTCAGGTGAACCTTTTCTCTATTAAAAGATGTTCTTTTTGATTGACTGAATGCATGTGTGAATTCAGGTCAAATTCTAAAAAGAAAAACTTTGGCCAAAGGAAAACATTTGAGAGGGCACCCTGTTTTCTCTATTATAAGGGTCTAAATTTATCAAACAAAATGAACCTACATTTGTCCAAATTTATCAGGCAAAATGAACCTCCATATCAAATGGAGATAAATTTAATATAAAATATCTCTAGCAGGGAAGTGGCACCCTGCAGCTGGCACATGCCTGGCTGTGGTATTTTCTGGGATCCCACCATGGCAGGAAGGAAATGAATCTGACTCCATGTTCTTTGAAGGCCAATTTATTATTTTATGCACTTATATTATATTAAAGGATGCTATACTAAAACTACACTAAAGAATAGACAAAGGATACAGAAGGCTTAACAAGATACTAATGAAAATCTTGGGACTGCTGCCAGAGTCCTGACACAGCTGGATGTGATTGGTCATTAAGTAAAAACAATTCACATGTTGTGTAAACAATCTCCAACCACATTCCAAAGCAGCAAAACACAAAAGCAGCAAAACACAGGAGAAGCAATCAGATAATTATTGTTTTCATTTTTCTCTGAGGCTTCTCAGCTTCCCAGGACAAGAAATCCTGGCAAAGGGATTTTTCCAGAAAATATGACAGTGACACTTGGTGAGTTCAGTCCAGCACATGAGCTATTAATGGACTGTGCATGAGGCCAGGTACTGGCTGCCCACTGTAGTGTGGGTGCAGCTTCACCTGAATTTTGGGGATGTAATGCAGGTAGGAAGCCATGAGTGTGTGTGTGGTGGGAGCACAGAGCTCCCTGCTGAGGGAGAATGGGAGGAATAATGTAAATCTGCTCCTGTTAGTAATGGAATTGCTTGTCTCTCTCCCACCCTGCAGCCAGAGAAGTCCTGCCTGACCTGGTGTCAGCCCTGCCCGAGTGTGTGCCAGGCAGTGAGGTTGCCTGTGAAACCACAGCATCCATCTGCTACACCCTGTTCAACCTGACCCAGGGCAGCTCACACAACGCCCGGCTGCTGCTCAGCGCCCACGGCCTGCCCAAGATCATTGCCATCAGCATGAATGACAGGTGAGGGCTCCATAATCCCCAAGGTCATTGCCACCAGCATCAACTACAGGTAAGGGCTCCTCAAGGTCATTGCCACCAGCATCAACGACAGGTGAGGGCTCCTCAAGGTCATTGCCATCAGCATCAACGACAGGTGAGGGCTCCACAAGGTCATTGCCATCAGCATCAATGACAGGTGAGGGCTCCACAAGGTCATTGCCACCAGCATCAATGACAGGTGAGGGCTCCACAAGGTCATTGCCACCAGCATCAACGACAGTTGAGGGCTCCATAATCCTCAAGGTCATTGCCAACAGCAACAATGACAGGTAAGAGCTCCACAAGGTCATTGTCTTCAGCATCAATGACAGGTAAGAGCTCCACAAGCCTGCTCAAGGTCATTGCCATCAGCATCAAGGACAGGTAAGGGCTCCATAATTCCCAAGGTCATTGCCATCAGCACCAATGAAAGTAAGAGCTCAACAAGCCTCAAAGTCGTTGCCATCAACATCAACAACAGGTAAGGGCTCCACAAGCCTCAGGGTCATTGCCATCAGCATCAGTGACCTGATGGCTCCACAAGGTCATTGCCATCAGCATCAATGACAGGTAAGGGGCTCCACAAGCCTCACTCTGTCCCCAGGCAAAAAAGAAACTGCAACCTCTGCCACTCTGGGGGAGAAAAGCTTCATCTCAAGGTACAGGGCAGCCCAAACAAGGGATGTGAATAGAATTGCACTGATTGGGAAATACAGAAAGATGTCTTAGGACAACTCTCCCATCCATAGCTAAACTCACCATGTTCTGGCATTTTAAATGCTCCTCATTTAAAGCATTAAAATAACTATATAATATTAAAGCATTTAATATTATATAAATTAATATAATTAAATTTATATAATTTAGGCATATAAAATAATAATATTAAAGCATTTTAAAAAACTCCTCAGAATACAACTGCACCACATTATCTGTATTCTGATATATATGTAGTGACTGATCAGCAGATCTCATCTGTACCCAAAATGTCTTTCCTGTCCATTGTTATACAGCCCTGATAAACTTTAGCAATAAAGTGCAGGGATACATTTTATAGAACCTATAGATCTGCACTTAACATATTGGCATTTTAGAGAACAAATTCAAAATTTAATCATTCTTTAATATGTAAACAAATGCAATCAACATTTACTCCAAAGATAATTAATGTTTTAAAAATATGAGTAACTATTCCATTTGCCTTGCTCTCTCTTGGCAAAATGAAAAGGAAATCAATCTCAGTAAAAGAGGCCTCGTGAGGACCTGAATAGTTCAATTCCTGTCTAACTAACAAGAGATTTTACCTACTGGAAAGATTTTTTCAGATGGTTGTTGTGCTGAGGTTATTTTCCTCAGCTGAAATTGCACAATATGATAGCTGCTGTAAGGTGTAGGCTACAGAGGACTTGATTTCTCCCTAAATCTGAAGAATGAGTGGAGCAGGGAGGCATGTTTCATTTGTTTTAGTAATAAGGACAGCCCAAAAGATGCTACAATTCCTAAAGGGTGGCAAACCAGCACTTAGGAGTAAAGAGAGATTAAAAAAATGCTATGAGGTTATGTTTGCTGAGGTGTGTACATGCACCATGATTATGATGTGGGAATTTCAATACGTTTTATCATTCTTTTTGCAAAATGGCAGCAATATGTTCAGCAAAGCCAGCAGGGCTGCTTCAGTCCTCCTCTACTCCCTGTGGTTACACACCGATCTCCACAGTGCCTACAAAAAGGTAAGCACAAAGAAAAATAATCTGTTCCTTCAGACCTAGAACCCTTTCATTTGTCCTCTGGGGCCCTTAGCACTCCTGCACATTTAAGAATCGACCTATGATAGGATTCAAGTGGTCCCTGAATTTGGTTTTCTTATTTACTTGTGCATAAGTACTGCATGGCCTTCATTTTTGCTCCTCTGTGTTCATGTTCTCTCCCTCTGTGGTTTTATCCCCACTGACAGAGCTTGTGAAAAGCTTTGCTGCTCCTGCCAGGAGTGTCAGGTGGTGGGAAGTAATGCAGAGTGGAGGTGATGCCCATGCACACTGGCTGAACCTGCCTGGCACAGAGGAGCCACGGTGGCAGCAAAGCCAAGGGCAGGGCAGGCAGCTCCCTGCCCTAAAAGCAGAGCAGCTCTGTTCTCCTTGTTGTTTGCACAGCCTGCTAGCCCAGGTTATAGTCACACAAAACCTAGGCCCTGGGAAAGGTGTTGGCAAACATTTACTGCCATAGTCAGGTCAAACAAAAAATGGCCAGCATGAGTCTGCCACAAACCAGTTTGGTTTTTTTAAAGCTCTCTGCCTGCTTTTTCAACCCTCAGCTGAGTCAACTTCCACCTATCAACCTTCACCCTGCATCTCAAACTGATTCTAATCCTTGTGTGTTTGCTGTTCAGAATTTGTCACTTCAAATTCCCTATAACCTAAAACTGTCCCAAGTTCTCAAGCAAGCTGATAGCATTCGTTATTCAGCTGTTTCTCTTTGTAGATTTTTTTTTGTTGAAATTTGCTACAAGACACTTTCTTAGCATAAACTTTAACAGTGTTGCATCACACCTAGTAGGAATGGCCCCACAAGCCAGAAACCTGTGTTCCAGAATAAGGCTATTGTGCCATATAAATTCCTAACTAGTTGTCTCTGGTTTTTTACAACTGCATTCCTGAACTTACCATACAATAAATTTACCATATTATCAGCAATATCCCTGATGGCATGAATTTTATGAATTTACTGATAGTTTAGGAAAGTCTATAGGACACATTTGTCAGAGTTGATTTTCCAAAATGCTGATTATTTGCTCTTCCTATGCAAACCAGGTCCCCTAGAGACACCAGGTATGGCACTGAAAACTTCAGAACCACCAAATGTCCAGACATTTTTGAAACTTTAGTCTAATAAGCCACAGAAATCACTTTATCGAACGAAATTGATAAAATCCTGAGTCATTTTGGCATTGCCCTGAGTCATTTTGGCATTGCCCTGTGTTCCTTGTTCTGACAGGGTTAATCTCAGCTAGGTTAATCTGAGCTAGGTTGATCTCAGCCTGGTTAATCTCAGCTATTAGTCACCTGAAAGTTAGGAGTCTGTAGAGCTGAGGTGGAAGAACAGGCTCCTGGTACAGTCAGTGGAGGGAGGTCAGCAATTCCAGTTATCCTCTCATCTACCCTGGACTAAACGAGCCTGTTCTGTCTCTGTGACTGCTCAGGACTCTGCCTAGACCCCTGCCATGGCTCCTTATCCAGCTTCTAGGCAGCTGGAGCCACCCTTCCCTTGCAGAATCAGCACTGAAGATAATGAACTGTTCTGTTTCTTCCATTCCAAAGGCTGACTTCAAGAAGGCAGATTTCATCAACAGCAGGACCACAAAAGCCTACAACTCACTGAAAGATTGAGCACAACACCAGGAAAAGAGATCCTACAGCAGCCAGTGTAACCATCTTCACAGGGCTGGTGTCACCACCATGATCCACAAAGTATCTCAGAGAAAAAAAGGAGCTGATTTGCTATAAAGACTTGAGTGGCCGGAGTGGCTTTTTTGAGTTTTTAATCCTCATCACCTCGTTGTCACTGACAACATCAGTACCAGTATATCAACATCAATACAAATGTCAGTACAAGAATAACCAAAGATGGATTCTCCAGGATGTCTGAGGTGAAGTTTCATCCAGGTTTACCACGAGTCAGAGCTCCAGATGACTGCCTTTGTTCTATACAGAGGAGTTTGAAATGCTGGCGGGCAGCAAATTCTTTTCAGACTGTTTTATACCAAAAGTTTTCTACAGTGGGTAAGCATCAAGTGCACTGCTCAGAATTTAGTCGTTTTTCACTCTTTTGTTTCTTCACACAGCTGAATAAGAATCTCCAGACTCTATGAGTATGCACAAGAAGCTGTTTCACTACATGAATTATAAAAGCACCAATGAAGTTAAAATTACTATTTTTGTATTGCTTGTTTTCGTGGGCTCACTGGTTCTTAAGCCTCTTTCCTTTGAGATTTCATCAGCAACAGCAGCAAAACTGATTTTGCATAGATCTTACCATCCCTTGCTCCTCTCATCCTCCCTCACATGGCTGTTGCATTTTACAACTGTGCCCAGAAAGGATTTTAACTAGAACCACTAAGTTTAAGGCACTGTGTTTCAGACACTTTGGGCTGAACTCAAGCTCATCGTTCTTTGCTAGTTGGTGGAGAAATTATTTGTGGGTGTTTCAGTGATTGTTTTAAGAAAATTGCAATTTCAAAACAATTCTGTTGATAATCTATATATAATAAAGGGAGTGGAGTCTTGCCTTTATTTTTGAAGTAACAGACACACACAAGGGGCTGGGCTCTGTGCTGGTTAAGGAATTCATTTGATCCTGCTTCATATTCTCTTACTTGAAATGATCATCCTCCCTACAGCAATTACATAGAATGTGATAACTTTGGGACTATGCCTGCACAAGTGGGAATAGGTAATAGGAGGGAAAAAAATTCCTGAGGACCTGAAGGCTCAGGTTTTCATTACATGATGCTCAAGATGGTAAAGAAGCACTTAAAAAAAACCCCATCTGCTACATTTAGTAAGTCAGATTTTTCTCAAAAAAACCCCACAAACCCAGGGGTTAGACTGTCCATTAAACCAGCAGGAAATACTTATATAAATAAGAATTTATTTCTGCTGGGTTATCAGCAGATGTGATCTGGCATTGTTCTTCTGAAATCAGGGGAGGTGAGCTACCTTTATGGCAATGGGTATTTTCTCATGTGTATTTTCAAGCCCTGCTGCTCCAAGAGAGCCCATCCTGTGCCCTCACTGCTGAACTTGTCCAGAAGGAGATGCAAAATCCTTGGAGTAGGGACCTCACAGGGGAGGTCACCAGCCCTCTTCATTTCAATACTCCTGGCTAAAGGTCTGGCTCCTACCAGACATTTAGAACCAGTGGGTTGTAGCACTGCACCGTGTCCAAACATATTTCTGGATATCTGGGAGCTCAGTTCTGCTGGCAGATGCCCACAGCTCTCCAAGGAGTCCCAGAAAGTCCCACAGGTGCACACAGGACAGACAGAATGTGCCCTGGGGAGGGAAGCAAACAATGCTGCTTTCCTGTCACTGATCCTTTTCAGAGGGCTCTTAGTCCTCCACATTTGCTCTGAATAACTCAAATCAAATGCACTCCAGTAGGAGGTTTTAAAAATACTATTATTTTTTTTGTAGGATGTCATATTCAAAATACTGCAAGTCCAAAAACAACACGGGGAAAGGGAACTTACAGCGCCGCATGTTGAGGGAATTGTTTTTATAACTTTTTCAAATATGATAGAAAACAGACAATTAAAATCCAACTTTCTCTTCTAGCTTGTTAAGCCAAGTAACTCTGCTTGTGCCATGAAAGAATGAATACCAGCAAACCTGGACAAGTCTCCTTTTATGGCCGAAAAGAAGTGGTAGGCAAAATTAATACAGAAAGAGTAAACCTGAATACACAGTAGCATAGGAATGAAGAATTGCAGTCTAAAAGATCAAGAAGGGAGCTTTTAGAAATGCTGCCTTTAGTCTTATTAAACTCACATGCTACTTAAGAAACAAAACAAGCAATGGTGTTGGGTACTTTTAAATACATGTGTACCTCTCAGTAAGATGCCCTTAAAAAAGAAATGCAGCAGTTTTGGGTTGTTTCCATTGGTGCAGTGGTTTTAAAGGTCTTTTTCAACCAAAATTAATCTATGATAGTGCCCCTTTAAAATCAAAGCAGTGTTCAAAAGTCACAAAGAATTATCTCAGTCCTGGCAGCAACACGAGAAACATGAGACACGCCTTATTACAACTGATCTCCCACTTGTATGCAATCAAAAACATTTCAGCAGGGCTCCAAAGAAAACAAAGCAGAGAAATAATAAAGTGCTCTCTCTAATGCAAAAAACCTGTCTTTGGTCTTTTTGTTATTAGTGAACCTACTTGGCTGGGATGCAGCAAATGTATTTTTAAGCCTTAGCCCTTCCTTCAAAAGGGCAAACTCATTTTTCAATAAAATCTAGGTATGGAGACTTAAGACTTTCCTGTAACAGCACATTGTTACTGAAGGCAAGCTGTGTAATGCTCCTGTTGGCATCAGAGGCCTCCTGAAAATAATTCCTTTGTCCAGTTTTGCTGACCTGTCAAACCCCCACAATCTGCTGTTTTCACCTCTCTTTAATTGGTATTTTCCAGTAAACTTCACCATGGGCCACTGGAGATCTCAAAAATAATTAAGTCAGCCTCACCATAGTCTTGGACCCGAAGAACATTCCCACTTGCTCTGTTCCTGAGAGGAGATTGGAAACCTGGCACTTAAACATGCTGAGCAGTGCCCAAAGAGTTTTTGGCTGAAAAAGGAACTTACCCCAGGTCCTCTTGTCTTGTGTCCTAACCACAACCCAGTGCAATCACCTTTCACAGAATTGTTTTAGTAGAAACTCTTAAATAGTACAGATAATTTTGGAGTAGATTATAGACATTACCAGAGAATTAATCATTCCTTTCCTCATTTCATCCTTCCACCTTATTTTCTACTATCACTGCTCCTAAACATAAGTACTTTTTCTTTTCCCTCCTTTCCTAAATAGAATTAATGTAAAATCATTCTAGAATTATGTAAAATAATTATATTTTAGAATTATGTAAATTATTTTCTAGAACTATGTAAAAATAATTCTAGAATTATGTAAAATAATTGCATTCTATTGTGCATGGGCACAGGGTTTGGGTTACTTGTCTTTTTTTGTGGGGTTTTTCTTTAGAGAAAGTACATGCTATCTATTGAGAGAGGTTCAACCTCCCCTTGTGGGCCCATAAAAGAACTGAAATGAGCTGGCACCATCAAAAGCCCCCACCCTCCCCTGGCTCCTGTTTAGCCTGGCAATCCCTGCTCCAGAGGCAGCCCATGGAAGCTGGGGGCAGTCAGGCTGCCTGTTTGGTTGGATTTTTGTTTGTTACCATGCTCAGCCCTTTAGGTTCCAGCCTGACAGGAGCATCAGCATTTTCCCAGCTTTAGTTTTCAGGGCCAAAAAGCCCAAGAGTGTCTCTTCACAGCCCTCCTGGGGGATGCCTCAGGAGCTGGCCTGATGAGCAGTCACACACTGAATCATGCTCAGACCATACCAAGTGCTGAGAACTGCTGCTTCCCAAACTATTCCAGCTCCTGCAGCTGCTCCTCCATTCCTTTACTCAAAGTGCTGGTGACTAAAACCTCAGTTTACATTCCTGACTCATGCTCCAGACCCACCCCGTGGGGAAGATAACACGACCTTAAGGCACCATCTGATAGGAGACAGAGATCTGGAATCAGCAACCAGACCAGAGGAAATGCATATTTGAGCTCAGCATCACAGCACACCAAGGACAAGCCCTGAGACATCAGATACTGGTGCAACCATGAGAGTTATGCCTGGAGTATTGGTGTAGGTGTTGCACAGCCCACTGGAAACCCAGCAGAGAAATTTGCTCAAATACACAAAAAACAGAAAGGGCTTCAGTGCAGACACTGTACACAGATCAGGGGTTTGCCTTTCTCTGCTTACTTTGAATATATGAATAGGTTTGCATATGAAGGGGAAATAAACTAATTTTTTCTTATTTCACATGTTCAGAGCCAAAACCATCCTAAAATACACATTAGAGGCATTCTAGGCTTATCAGAAATTAGAATTTGCCCACATCCTTCCTTCAGCTGTATCTTCCAGTCCCAATGTGACTGTAAATAATTCAAGTTTAGGAACTTAACATTTCTTTAACAATTTTCCAATTATGCAACCTAAGCTCCCATTCTCTTATTAGTATCTTGTTATTCTTAGTCCTTTCTCAGACCAGCCTAAACGTGCACAGATGCAGAAAAGAGGAAGCAGGTATGTTCTTAGCAGCTACAATTTAGAGCCAATACTGCAAATACCCCCATGGTATCAGTGCTTTGCATGCTCTAATTTGTAATCAGCTATAGGACCATGAGTCAAACTATCACCAATCACACCTTGAAAGGAGCTGGGTCCCCAAAATCCCCTCCCTGCTCTTATTTACCCCCCTACTAACTTGGCTGTACTTAAACATCTGTAACAATAACTCTCCTCCTGCAACTTCAGTAAGAGACTTGAGGTCTTCCCCAGTTCTAGAGAAATTTAAAGGCATTTTTGGCCCTCAAAAATACATCCTTACTGTGTTTTCACCAGAAAGGGAAATAGCCATGTCTGAGCCACAGAAAAATAATAGTGATAGGCCAAGAAGGAAAAAATCTTTCAAAAAGTGCAGAAACTTTCTGAAGCCCATGAAGGCCATAAGAAAATGGGTTCCAGGCTGTGTTTGGCTTGGAATAACAACAAAACAAAACAGTAATGTTGTAGTATCAGTGTTGAACTCTGCCTGGAAAGCACACTGTGCCTTAGGATACATGGGCACACTTGAGTTTCAACTCAAAACTCTGGACATTGGGCTTAGCCCCTTTACAAACTGTGAATGAGTTTAAACCCTGCACAATTCCTAAAGACTGGAGAAGCTCAGCAAC